ATTGTTTGCATTGCATGGCTTAGTGGGCATGGCTTGGTGGGTGTGGCAGGGGAAGGATACTGTAAAATCTCCATTCCCACCCCACTCCAGAGAAAGGTTACTGCAAAATCCCCATTTCCCCCCTCCCAAGTCCCAAGCTGGGACTTGGGAGGCAGAGAATAGATGGGGGTGGGGCCAGTCAGAATTTTTACTACTGGTTCTCCAGAAGTGGTCAGAACCTGCTGAAACCCACCTCTGATTCCTTCATCATGTTCAGTTTCACCTTATTAATTTCTAAAATATAATGAATATGGGCACTCAGATTAGACCTCTTGGATTTTGAAGCCCAATGTGTCCTGAGTTGATGAGCAAGAGATTGGGGGGGGGGGATCCCAATAATTCTCCTACTTGAGCTTAGTTTCAGGGATCCATCTTTAGCTATTGTGATCTGTGCTCTCTTAGGAGAAATAGCCAAAAATAGTTAGGATCACACAGCGTATATAGAATAACCATTGTTGTAGTGTTTTTTTCCCCTCCAAAATCAAAATTAGAAGCCTATGTATATCTTTTCCCTGGTTTGTTTGTTTGTTTGTTTAATTAATTGTTTGTCAACAAGTACAAGGAAACAAGTATAGGCATAGACATGGACACATGAAAAAAATGGCACAAATAAATGGATATAAATAGGCAAAACATAGCCATAAACACATAGAATGATTACATATAAATGGGGACAGCAGGACAGGGATGATAGGCACGCTGGTGCGCTTATGCACGCCCCCTTAGGGACCTCTTAAGAAAAGTGTAAGGTCCACGGTAGACAGTTTAAGGTAAAAGGTATGGGGGTTAGAGAAAGTAACAACAGGATCAGGTAGAGTGTTCCAGACTTTTACTACTCTATTGCTGAAGTCATATTTTCTGCAATCAAGATTAGAGCAAGTTACATTTAGTTTGTATTTATTGGTTCTTCCATAATGTTATGTGGGAAGAACTTAAATGAAATTAAGCAGGCTATTCTACTGCCAACTTTTTAAACTTTAAATACAATCATATTTTTATCTAAAAACAATGCACAAAGTATATAGAATAGAATAGAATAGAATAGAATAGAATAGAATAGAATAGAATTCTTTATTGGACATAAGTGTGATTGGACACACAAGGAATTTGTCTTCGGTACATAAGCTCTCAGTGTACATAAAAGATAAATCATGATCATAGTCATCATGAATCATAAGATACAACACTTAGTGATAGTCATAGGATACTAAATAAGCAATCAACATAAATCATACTAGGAACTAATAAACAATATAAATCGTAAAGATACAAGCAACAAAGTTATAGTCATAAGTAGAACAGGAAATAGGTAATAGGAAGGATGAGAAGAATAATAGTAATACAGACTTAGTAAACAGTTTGTGTAGTGGCAATTAGTTGTTTAGCAGAGTGATGGAATGGGGGGAAAACTTTCCTTGTGTCTAGTTGTTCTAACCCTAACCCTAACCCTAACCCTAACCCTAACCCTAACCCTAACCCTATAGCATCGGTTTGAGGGTAGAAGTTGAAACAAGGATGTGAGGGGTCTGTAGATATTTTCACAGCTTTTTGACTCGTGCAGTATACAGGTCTTCAATGGAAGGCAGGTTGGTAGCAATTGTTTTTTCTGCAATTCTAATTATCCTCTGAAGTCTGTGTCTGTCTTGTTGGGTTGCAGAGCCAAACCAGGCAGTTATAGAGGTGTCTATGAATGTTGAACTGAAGTCTACAAAGAGGACCTTTGCATAGGTCTTTGGAGATTCATGATGTTGTAGGATGTAGTCCAAACAGCAAGAAAAAAAATCATTGTCCCTGTATTTACTTTTTTTTTTTGCCAGAACTAGAGTTTGGCTCTAAGGAGAAAATTTTTACAAGACTATTCAGTAATGAACAGGAAGGTGTAAAATAACTTGGACTTGTAAAGTTAGTTTTAATTAGAGGAACAGGAAAATGCAGTGTGGCAATATTGCAGCAAATAATTGTTTTTTTTAATCACTTCCATCAGGGTGAAATAAAATGAGCCATAGTTGAAAGGAATAATTCTGATTTAAATTGTTAAATTCTTTGCTGAGCAATAACTGCCTGTGAACCCTTTAACTTTATTAAAGGCTGCTGTTCAGGAGAAAGGACTTCTGAATAATCTTCTTTTAAAATTTCATCTTGCATTTCAATGTATCCAATACTTTATGTAGCAGGAAAGAAACCGACTCTCTTTGTAATGCTTTTCGGTCTACTTGCTGATTGCTATCCTGGGAATAGGAATATACAGGGCCGGATTTTCCTATAGGCTAACTAGGCTTCAGCCTAGGGCCTCAAGATCAAGAGGGGGCCTCAAGATCAAGAGGGGCCTACATTCAAATTGTTAGCAAAATTAAAATTACACTTTCACTATAGGTGAAAGGGCCTCATAAGTGGAATAGCCTAGGGCCTCTTTTCATCTAAATCCGGCCCTGGGAATATACCCTATTTCTAATCATTCACCCAGGCAATTTTCAGGCTATTTGCCAAGTTTGGAAAAGGATTACTCATTTCCAGAAGTTTTGAGTTTCATTCATTTCTGACATTTGTCACACAATGTTGAAGGATATTGTAACAAACAATTGTTAGCAGTTTTGCATTTCTAATGTTATGAACTGTCTTTTGATAGCCCTTATGTGTTGAGGTTTAAGTGAGGGACATATTTATCTGATGATGTGCCATCGATAGACACATAGACAACCAGGCATACTAAGCATAAGAGACAATAAACAAGCCAAAAAGGGAACAAAAAACCCCAGAGTACTCCCCACCAGCAATCAGCACCCAGATCAGACCAGTTTGCTCCGACCATCAGCTGGACCCTCCCGCCCGCCCCTGTGCTATACCTACCTATATTCATTTGTTTTTAGTCCAGCTGATAGGCATGGCAGAGCGGATTGCCACACCCCAGCTGTTCAGAAATGCAATGTGCAAAGCATGTGCATGAAGCGAACTGGTTATTACACTGGTTGAAACCCACCACTGACCCAGATGAACATAGATTAATTCCATGATTAACATCAGACCAACAATCAAGAAGTAAACAAGGAACTGCCAAACAAGCTAACAGTAAACAGCCTTTGGAGCCTGGGGAGGGCGAAAAACGGGCCTTCCGGGAGTTAGGAAACAGGTCATTTCCGGCCTCTGGAGGACCTCCGGGAAGGTGGGGAAGGCCGTTTTTGTCCTCCCCAGGCTCCAAGAAAAACTCTAGAGCCTGGGGAGGGTGAAAAACAGGCCTACCAGTCCCACTGGTAACCTTTTTGCCGTCGAGTGCCAAAAGTGGGGGGAGCACGGGGGGTCGTGCGTGCATGCGTGGGGAGCAGGAAGGCATTGAATTATGGGTGTGGGCACGCGGATGTGCAACCACCCCGCACTCCCCCCGCTTTTGGCACACAACGGCAAAAAGGTTAGCCATCACTGCACTAGAACATAAACTGAGAGCAAACTCCTTACTAGCACTAATGAAGTTACCTAATTTGGGTAATGAAATGTCTGCAAGAAAACAAGAAAACTCAAAGAATACCCAGGACCCCTCACATATTTATTTTACAAACAGTGCCCTTGGGTTTAAAGAACTATTCTCCAGGTATTGCCTTATAGTCAAATATATCAGGAGTATGGCTTAAATTAACCGAGGTCATTATTATGTTAATTATGTTACTTAACAAATCTATTAAAATAATACCTTCTGAAACTTGTTTGTTGACAATGTGTATAATTTATTTATTTATTTTTAAAAAAGAAGGAAAATATCATAAGTGTGCATGGTGGGACACATGGAAAATGTACTTAGCTTTTTCATATTTTATTGCTATGGTTGCTGTTGTAAACCACACCCTGATGTTAAAGATCAGGGGTTGTCATTGCAGAAAGTTAATGTTTGATTAAACATAAAAATATCCAGTTTGTCTGAGAAACTACCAGGATAATTGAGAGGTGAAGTCAAGCAGGTGTTATTTTAAAACAATTTGAAATTTTTATACCCCAGGTAAGACATAATCTTTTTACCAATTTTCATAGATTTTACATAATATCTGATACCGGTTTGATTGTTCTGTCAGCCTGACATGTAAATTATGCCACTTCTCCAGTGTATATTGTTGTCAAGTGCATTTTGCTAGGTATTTGTTTTACTTTTGATTGACTTAGCTGAGATCATGTTCCTTTTTAATGTATGAGTTAAATTTCATATTGCTAGTAGGACAGTGGTAGGTTGATTGGAAAACTTGACAATAAATGAAGATCAGTATAAAGCATAAAGGTGGGGTGGATTGAATGTAAATACCTTCTCTCCCCCATGTTGGAAAGGCAGTTTCATAAAATTAACAGTGAGCAGCTATAGTGGCACTTGTGATAACGCCATTATACGGTATGCGGTAGTTCCCGCCCTTTCCACCATTTTGGATTACTTTGTCTTTTCCAGAAATATTTCCATGTTTCTGCTCCCTCTCCTTTCTTATTTTTTTTTTCTTATTTGTCTCAAACAGAATCATCCCTTACCTTCCATTAGATTTTGTATCCATGTTATATCTTTAGAGGAAGGACAAACTATTGTTTGGGTCCAAAATTCTCTTTGAGTCTCTTGAACAAGAAGAATTCTCAGGTATACGACACTTTCTTCGTCACACAAACGGAAACTTTGGGTCTAACCAGGTTGTTTGCTCAGGGTTGTGTAAAGCAAAAGGGTTTCCTTTTCTCTTTTAGTAATAACCTTATGGTATTTTCAAGTGTCTTCTCAATTCCTTTTTGTTGTCTGTGTTTATTTCAAAATAAAAATCCCATGCTGAAAAGCAAAACAAATCAAAAGAGAGACAAATTCCTGTAAAGGTTTCCTGCCTAGCAAAGAAACCAGGGTGGTACAATTGAAAGCAGAAGTGAATAACATACTTGCTGGAATCAGATTTTAACACAGTTTTGAATCGTTGCTCAGAAATTTGTTTCAACTATTAACAGGAATCTAAAGGGGAAGCCTCATCAAGATGTTTAAGCCAAATGGACTTAATTTACTGTGTCTCCTTAGTCTTCATCAGGTAAGTGGCAAAAAGCTTTCATTTCCCTTTAATAGACCTGATTCTGTATGTACTGGAAAACAGTTGTTTTATATCGGCAATTATTGAGACAGGGAAAATAGTATATTGCTTGCTTTTAAAAAGAATGTTCATAATTTAATTATGGCAGACAAATTATTCAGTTTCCCCCAGTCGCAACTGGTGATACTGTCTCTTGTTGACTTTACCAATCTGTGGAAATCTCTTATAATTTTTTGGTTTTATTTGTGTGGGTATATTAATTGCAATTTTGTTTCTGTTTTTTTGATCCATGTACAGTAGCTCAGAACTCTATCTCTTGTTAGGATTTACCGTACATTCCCTAATGTGTAAAATTCTATTTCCCTTGCTATAGTGTATAAATAGCAGCATATACAAGTTGAATAATGGCAATAACTTAAAAGGCATATTAAATGTCAAACATTCTGCATTCAAATTTTGAATGTTGTTTTCATTTACTTCCAATTTTCATTTATTGTGTGTGGGTTTCAGTTTTCTTAAAACAGGTGGGAGATAGATGTGTTTATCATTTAGACCAGGGGTCTCCAATTGTGGCAACTTTAAGCCTAGTGGACTTCAACTCCCAGAATTCCCCAGCCAACAAAGCGGACTGAAATCTTGGGACTTGAAGTCTGCCAGGCTTAAAGTTGCCATGGTTGGAAACCCCTGATTTAGACTGTGTCTAAATTGCAGGTACCACTTATGGCTTTGGAAGCATTACCTATGTTTGTCCCTTTTTAATGGAATCCAATTTTTTATCTGAAGGGCTGCCCAGTTCATGTCTGCTTTTAAAATAAAGAACCACAAGAAAGGAGAGCAGAAGATGTATCATTGACCTTCAAAAACTGGAAAGCAGGCAGGGCAAACAGAGGTCAACTGCTCACAGACTGTCCATTATGCTGAGAGGCATGATACATTTCTACTTAAATTATATTAATTTAAAATGTATATCTTTTTAGAAGTTGGGAACATTCCAAGACAACCATCCCAAGTGGCTCCTACTAATCAGAGTAATTAAGCCACTCTAATGAATGGGCAACTGGGTTGGGGATGATAGTTTGCTACTTTGGAATGTATCACTTAACAGATCTTGTGAATCTTAGGAATACAAATAAGAATCCCCAAACTTTTGGGGATGGATGAGTAACCTTGGAGGACAGGGAACATATTAGGGGGACTTTTGCAAAATGGTTGTCATGGAATAAATTTGGAGGGTGGAGTCAATCAAAAATTCCTTTTATTAGAAGACAACTGGTGGGGATAGTTCTCACCATCAACTTGAATTTTTCCTTTTTTTTCCTGGAGAAGTAGTAACTGAGACAAATCATTGGACTCTACTCCCCCCCCAATTTAAATTTTCTAAAAAAAATCTATGGAGTTCATGTGGGGCCCAGATACAGTATTGGAAATAAAAATCATCCTATGGCCTATCATTTTGCTTTTTGACTATGCCAATTTCTTTTTCTTTTCTTTTTTTTCAATAGAATAGAGAAGGCAGTTTTTTATTTTGTGTCGTAAGATAACCACTTCATGGAGAAAATTAAAGTCAATGACTTGATAACATCTATCTTTTATCAAATTGAGGTTATGTTTCCTTTCTTCTGAAGTAAATAAAGTATATATTTTTCTCTTTTTGACATGAGAGATTATATCCACAGCATATAGTCATCTCGTCACAGTTGCTAATTAGCTTCATTTCCTACAATTGATGGATTTTGGGAGGAAATACCGTGTTTCCCTGAAAATAAGACTCTGTCTTATATTTTTTTGAACCCTGAAATAAGCGCTTGGCCTTATTGCCATGTTCTCAAAAGCCTGATTGGGCTTATTATCAGGGATGTCTTATTTTTCTTTTTTTTTAAAAAAATAATAATCTTTATTTACATTTCATTTAAAAAGAAAGGACTATTCCAGAGAAGGCAGAACATCTTATATCTCTTAATGCATCACTTAGGTCTATCCGACCACACTTGTTTTATATAGTATGTAATTTCTAATGAAAAGTCAAAGAACTGGATTTTGTTTTAAGTCTGGTGTGACAGGGAGTTTGGTATGCACGCTAGGAGTCTCTATTGTCACACTGATAGACATCGGATCAGGTTAAACACCCATTGAATTCCTTTTGAAATGTTTGCATCTGTAACGGCACCTGTATGCTTGTAGTGTCATCCAGCAAGTCCAGCAGGAGAGGCATGTTGTGGGTCCTGTCAGCCAGGGGGTTTGGTCAGATGGGAGGGAAGACTTTTCTGCTGTGGCTGCCACCCTGTGGAACATCAATATCATGAGGCTGGCCTGGCCCCCAACCCTATTTTGGCCTTTGGAAAGGCTCTTAAAACATGTTCTCTCAACTAGCTTGGAAACTCAATGTAGAGTGAAGTGTATTAGAGGGCCATATAATAATTAATTCGGTGCACTCTTTTGTATGTTTTTCTTGTCAGTTTTTGTTTTTGTTTTGTTTTTTAATATTTAAATTAGTGGTTTTTGCTTTTAAAGTACTTTGATGGCTTTACTATATATGCCATCAGAATCACTATGTGAGATGGGTAGCTCTATAAATATGATAGATTAAACAAACAAACAAATCAAGTTCTCTCTTAGGAATAGGAAATTAGAGGAAACATTTAGGTTCCATTTATTCTGTTAGGTTTAGTAGCAGTCATCAGGGACAGAAGCCTGACATGTTTAACTTCTTGAAGATTTAGTGATTGTTGCAATAGGTCAAGCTTTTAGAATGCCTGGGTAAAGCACAGAGAGTTAAATTGGACAGGTTAGCCTGTCTAAGAAAGCAGGATGAGTTCTGTTTCTTCTCTACTTGGTAGGAGTCCTGATTCTTATTTCTGAGACTCCCAGCCCTTTGAAAGTAACAAAATGCTCTGCCCCCAAAGTTACTTAGGTATCATTGTGTACATGTTACTATGGTTGAAATTTGAAGGAAGCCAAAATAGTATTTTCTGCATGTCAAGTGGAAAATATCAGGAACAGATTTGAAGATTCTTGATGTTTGCAGATATATATATGTAAACAAACAATTAGAGAAAGAGAAGGAATGGTTGCAAGAACAGAAAATAATAGAGGTATACTGTTGACATAAATTAGCTTCAATTTTTTTTCCGTTTATCATCTCATTCTTCTTAAGAATAAATGGGTTACTATTTGTTAAACCTCTCTGGGTTTTGCATAACATTGTTGACCCCAAAACAGAATAGGATGAGGGACATGTATACCGTACTATCAAAAAAAGGCTTGTGTTTTCTGTATCCACAGAAATCTATTATAACTGCAAGAAGGATGGGTAGTATATACCATGCTTTGAGTGGGGGTTCCACATAAACCAATGGTATTGCTTAAAGCATCTATATATATATATCCATCAATCAAATCAATTTTGTGGTAAGCAAGTGCAAAATGCAGGTATAAGAAGCAGTAAGCCAAAGAAGTTAGGAACAAAATATAAAAAGGGAAACAAAGTTAAATCTAACATATCATATCAACACCATTCAGTATACTTCTATATTGTACATTTCCATCTTTGCAAATCATTTTTGTTTCCATACATCTGTACATTTCCATACATTTCTTCATACATTGCCCTAAACCTCCAAAAGAAAGAGGTGAGATATTTATAGAACAAAAGGTGTTCTATTAATACCATGAATTAATGAGGATAAAATCATATAATAAATATATGTAGGAATAGCAAACTCCATCCATTCCCTGCTTTTTGGTCTTCTCCTTCTACTTGGATCAATTTATTAAAGCTTACTGTTCCTTCCCCCCATTTCAACATATGTTTTTCATAATAGTGACTCTTTTGAATTCAATCCATATTCATTCAGTACCCATCCTATCTCTTCTTGTTTCACCATATCCATCTTTTAAGAGGTTGGTATGGCAAGAGAAATTTATTTCAGGCATTGTCTTTTTCTCAATAAATAAATATGAACTCCCTAATTTGCACAGAGCAGGACAACTTCAGCCTACAGAATTAAAAAAAAACCCTGGAGCCTTGATTTAGAAGGCAAAAAGTTCTAATAATAGAAAGTTGACTCTAGAAAAGTAAACATTTTTTGCCTTTAACCTTTTGGAAGACCATAGCAAGTTCTCAAAGAGCCCTAAGGTTTTGTGGCATACAATTTAAAAACCCTGACAAAAGCATAGTCAACCTATCCCCCCCACCAGATGATAAAGATTATGCACAGATTATTCCTGTATCTTATAGATGAAGATTACTTTCAATTTTGTAATACTGAGCTTTTGCCTTGGACACATGATATTAATGTCTGTGTCATGATGGCTAATTTCACTCTAACATCAGATACTAGATAGGAATTGGTGTTATAGTTCAAGTACTTTGAATCAAAAGTGCGACAGATGTTCAAACTCTTCTTTGCAGAGCTCTTGTGCAGCGAGTTTTCAATAAATTGAACACAGGAAGAAACCAGAAGGAACAACCTTTTATTATTCCTATGTTACATTATGATTCATATTTTATAGCTCACATAAAACTATTCTAACAGACTAGGAAGGGTCAACACGATATATAATTTAATCTTTGATCTTCGCAATACGTTGAAGACTTTGATCTTTCTAAATGAATTATATGTCGCCATAAAGTACAACAAAGGGTTTTTTTCTTCCTGCAGTACAGCTTTCAGCTACTCATTTCTTGTGTGTAAACTGGGTAAAAATGAAACTACTTTAAGAATTCTGGATTTCAGCTCTTTTTTTTCACTTTTTCCTTGTGCCTGGACATTTCTTGGAGCCTTGATTAGAAAATTCCAGATTTTTTTGACCCCTCTTGGATTGGTTAGCAAAAAGAAAATACCACCATTTTATCATTTTTCCTATTAGGGCTAGAAGAGGAAAGTGCCAGAGCACTTTTGAATTCCACATGGTTAAAAGAAACACTGTTTTATCAGATAACATTTTTTTAATGTTAGTTTTTACCTTTCCACTGATCAACTTGTAATAAACAAACATACATACAAACAAAGTAAGTAAGTACGTAAGTAAGGCTGGGGGAGGCAATGACCACTGACCAGACAGGAAACAGGGAGAAAACAGAACTGCTTAATTCATTTTTTGCATCTGTCTTTACATAAAAAGAAAAAAAACAGTCCAACCTATCAAATAAAATACTGTAAAATGCAGATTAGGAATGCAAGTCAAAATAAGCAAGAAAATAGTAAGAGAACACCTATTCAATCTAGAGTTCAAATCACCAAGACCAGATGGATTATATCCCAAGGTTCTTAAGAAACTGGCAGTCATGATCTCAGAACCACTGAACCATATCTTGGGGATCCTGGAGCACTGGGAACTACCAGATGACCGGAAAAGGGCTGCTGAGGTTTCCATCTTAAAAAAAAAAAAAGTGGGGGGGAATGGATCCAGGAAATACAGGCCTATCAGTATGACATCAATACCTGGAAGATTCTGAAAAAGATAATCAAGCAACAAATTTGCGAACACCTAGAGGCAAACAAAGTCATAACCAGAAATCAACATGGGGTTATCAAAAACAGCTCATGCTAGAAAAATCTTATTGCATTCTTTTGACTATATGGCAAAATTAGTGGATTAGTGAAATGCTGTGGATATAATTTACTTGGACTTTATCAAGGCATTTGATAAAGTAGACTACAACCTACTACTTGATAAGATAAAAATGGGGGTTATACAGAATCACCATTGGATGGATTTCTAGCTGGCTGACCAACCAAACTCAACATTTAGCTCTTAATGGAACTGCATCTATATGGAGGGAAATAGGAAGTGGGATAACCCAAGGCTCTGTCTGAGTTGAGATCCTTTCTTCATGGAATCAAGCAATAGCTTGCTTCCAAAGCAGAATTAGAGAATCATTTCAAGGTACACTGAAATGTAACTGGAAATTGAAAACATGGGGAATTGGAGTGTATAAGCAAAGGAGATGTCAGCTCTTTAATTGGGATTTTAAATTTTATGGATTTGGGGTTTTAAATTTGGGTAGCCAATGATTTAATTCTTTTAATTATCTTAACTTTTGCATTTGTATGTTTTTTAATTTTGGCTGTTCACCGCCCTGAGTCCCTTCTGGGAGAAGGGCGGTATACAAATTAAATAAATAAATAAATAAATAAATAAATAAATCTAGATAGAAAACTAAAACCAAGAATACAAGAACTTCAATTCTGAGATGCTTTCTGTATCCTATTCCTCTTTTGGACTCAGACTTTATTTATTTATTTATTTATTTATTTATTTATTTATTTATTTATTTGTCAAACATGTCTAAGATAACAGATATAAGTATAAACATGATTATGAATACAGGAAATGGATACGAATAAATGGGGACAGAAGATGAGAAATATGTTTTTCTTTTCGTTAGATTCAGAGGAATGGAATGCTTTAAAACTGGTTATGAAAGGGAAGAAAAAAATGCAGACCATTGTCTCATTTCTTCCATACTAATAGATGTCCAGTAGGTGTTTAACACTTTCAGAGTCTACAATGTGGAAGCTTTCTGAATCATGGAATCACAGAAAATATGGATTGGCAGGACATTGGGGCCATTGAGTTTAACTGCAAGCTCTGTACTGGAATTCATTAAACCAGCAGTCCCCAACCCCTGGAATTGCTACCAGTCAGAAACTGGGCCATACAAGCAGCAGGCGAATGCCAATAGTTCCTTTTGCACATGCGCAGGATTAGGTTGCATATGGGAAACCATCTCCTCCCCTTCTGCCCCACCACACACCACTGCCACTGTTGGTCTGCGGAGCCAGAAGGATTGGAGGCCACTGCACTAAACCAAGCCATAAGAGGCTGTCTGCCTCCACTTGAAAAAGTCTATAAACAGATATTCCACTACTATTCTTGTCAGGCTCTCCCATTGCTCACAGCTCTTAACCAAGACATTCCTCCTAAGTGTTAGTCTGAATCTCCTGAATTTCAACCGTTTGGTCTTTGTCCTACTGTCGGTTTTAATAGAGAAGATGCCTCTCCCCTCTTGCGTGGGACAACATTGTAGATATTGGTAGTTATAATCTCATATCCGGATCCTTTAATCATTTGTCATCCAGATAGCAGAAATCTTGTTCCAGCATTTCCAATGCCCCTTTCTAGGTGTGGTTCTCAGAATGGTATGCAGTATAGTACTCCCTGTTCAAAGGGCAATTTTTTCTCATGTCCTCCACACTAGAGAAAAAAGCTCTAGAAGAAGAAAGAAATGTATTGACAAAAGGTGCCATAATAAAGAGGGAAGTATTGTTTACATTAGTACAGCTAAAGACTAAAGACATTAGTACAGCTAAAGTCTGTCTTAGTCATGGACTGGGGACAAATTGAAGGTGATGTCATGGGAGCAAAAGGGGAAAAAAAGATGTTGGCAGGACATGCCTGTGCTATAGGTAGGTTTAGGTAAGAAGAATCTCTAAATTATGGAATTTTAATCAGATTCAAACCCAGAATACTATATGGGAATAAAAACTGTGGATCAAGATCATGTACATATATATTTATAGGACTTATATGGCCACTAATCTCATACAATGACACTGGGTGACAATGAGGGTGCTTACTGCAAGGTGGTAGAGGGTTTGGTGAACTGATGTAATAAAGAGATCATTGTCGATTTCAGAAAAGGCAGGCACCACCTGTATATAATATATACCGCTGTGTATAAATGATTCACCTGTGGAGGTAGTTAGCAACATCAAATTTCTGGGTGTGCAGCTAATGAGTAGGCTGGTTTGGTTGCTCAACAGTGAGACACTGATGAAGGGGGCAGAGCAGTGCCTGCATTTTCTGTGTCGCATGAGAAAAGTACATCTTCCTCCCTCTGTCCTTACCACTTTCTATAGAGGGACGATCGAGAGCATCCTTTCATATTGCATTACTGCCTGGTTTGGAAACATTACTGCTTTGGACAGGAAGGCAGTGCAGAAAGTGGTGAGGATGGCAGAAAAGTGTATTGGTAGTTCACTTCCTTCTATATAGTACATAGCATATAAGTGATGCTTGAACAAGGTCCGGGGGATTGTCTGGGACGCTACTCATCCTCTTCATGACCTGTTTTCCTTGTTACCTTCTGGGAGGAGGTTTTATGGTATCCAAAGCAGAACATCCAGATTCAGCCATAGTTTTGTTCCATACAGTATCAACCTTGTGAACTCTCAAGCTTCCTGTTTCCACTACATATTCAAGATGGACAGTGATTAATATTTATATGTTAGGGTGTAGGTATATACAGTGGTGGGATTTAAATAATTTAAAAACTGGTTCTCTGGCTGGGTAGGTGTAGAAAAGGTGCAAAAAAGGGCTGAAAAAGGGCCCGGAAACGGTCCGAAAATGACCAAAAAATGGGCGGGGGCGGGGCCAGCCAGGGGTAGAATTGGCCGGTTCACTGAACTGGGCAGAATTTTGACAACCGGTTTGCCTGAACTGATCCAAACCGGCTGAATCCACCTCTGTTTATATACATATGTATGTATATAGCATATCTATATGTGTGTTATGTATGTGTACACTTTTGAGAGCAGGCAACAGATTTTCATTTTTAATGTATGCCAGAGTGTCCATAGAAAAAAATGACAATAAAGATTACTTATCTAGGTGGTTTAAGGAATGCGGTGGCTCAGTGGCTAAGACACTGAGCTTGTCGATTGAAAGGTTGGCAGTTCAGTGGTTCAAATTCCTAGTGCCGTGTAACGGCGAGCTCCCATTACTTGTCCCAGCTTCTGCCAACCTAGCAGTTTGAAAGAATGTAAAAAATGCAAGTAGAAAAATAGGGACCACCTTTGGTGGGAAGGTAACAGTGTTCCGTGCGCCTTTGGCATTTAGTTATGCCGGCTACATGACCACGGAGACGTCTTTGGACAGCACTGGCTCTTCGGCTTTGAAACAGAGATGAGTACCAGCCCCTAGAGTCGGAAACGACTAGCACAAGTGCAAGGGGAATCCATATACCATAATTAAAACATACCAACATCTTCACTGTTCAACTGCCCTGTCCCAACCCAAGGCTAGAGGAAAGAGCTAGGTCTTCATAGTTGTCTGTGGGTAACAGGGTAGGAATCTTCTGATCTTTAGTGGGAGGCTGTTCCAAAGGTCTGGCTCTGAGAAGACATGCCTCCAAGATCCCATCAAAACACAATAGGGAGGCGATCTGGGGAGTATGTACCCTATCTACCCTAGTTAGAAGAGCAGAGGCCTTCAGGAAGAGGCAATCCTGCAGGTAACCTGACCCTTTCCCATGTAGCGCTTTAGAGTGATAACCAGCACATTGAATTATACCTGGAAAGCAGACACACATATATACACACACACTGATTTAGGCCTAAAGAAACCCCCTTATACAACCCTCAATAATTTAAATACAGATGATCTATTTGCAGATAATGTACTCAAACATTATGAAACTATATTTTTGCAATTTCACTATTAATGCTTCAAAGTTAAAACCAAACTTATGTTTTGAATTTGGTTTTACCTCCTCAACTTTAGGAATTTGACTGAAAATATTTGAGACTTTCTTGATTATTTTGATTTTTAGAAACTTCTGCCAGGATTCATTGTGTTCAGTATAAATATAAAACGCTAAACACTTTTGTCTGTTATCTAATAAATATTTTGGAAAGAAAATTTATTCCCCATTCTTAAGAATGTACTGCTATTCCCTCTATTATACTTTCAAAGAATGAACCTGCTTTGGCAACTACATCATACCTCCTTGTAATCAATTAATATGGAAAATATGAGTAAACTCTGTCATTTCTTGTCCTTGCAGGTTGCTTACCTTCTTGCAGATAACCTTCAATCAGCTGGACCTTTGGAAGACAAAGTTTTTTATCTTGAAGAGGGTAAAGTGGGACCACAGTATTTGTACAGGGTAATGTCCACTGACTCTTCTCTTTCTTTGGAACAAATCTGAAAAATGACTGAAGATGTATGAAGAGGAAATAAATCATGCTGCCCTTTTAAAACAGAATGAGGAAAACAAAAAGAAAGAAAGAAAAGGGGGGGGGGATTTGATTTACATAAGAAAAAATGGAATTCTGAGTTTCTTCTTTTTCTTCATACCAGTTTACATTTCAACCCCCTACCTCCAGTGTGAGGCTGACCGGTGAAACAGATTCCCTCATAGAGGTCACACCAAAAGATGGAGTCCTGATTGTCAAGGGGCCTCTAGACTGGGAATACAAAACACAATATAGTTTACAGGTAAACCAAAAATGATGTTAAGTGTTCTGTTATTTTTCCCCAAAGGGTTGAGTGAAGGCTTCTAAGATGAAAACAATAATAATTAAAAACAAAACAAAACTGGTAAGTTTCTTTTAGTCCAATGTTTATGTTTCTATGGAAGAATGGATGGATTGATCATTTATTCTAGGTTTAATCTGGTAATACAGGACATGATGAACATTAAAGTACTGAATTTTTAAAAAATAGTAAGAACTGAAAAATATAGCATAATATGCTGCAATTGGAAAGAGAAATACAATTAAAATAAAAGTTGCTATTCATGTATATGAATACATTTTAACATCTCAGAACCTAAATTTATCAAAGATCATAAACCATATAAAAATGCAAAGTAATATTACCCCTTTTAGAACCATTGTGTTCGTAGTAGGAGTGGGTATTAGTGTAGGAAACTGACAATTTTAAAATCTTTTTTGGGCTTTCAGGCAGAGCATATAACAACGAAATAGTAATTATATTGTAAAAGATAAGATTGCAAACTATGGTCATCCTTGGGGTATTTTGAGGGTTTGGGGTACACTCCCCCCAATAAAATAGGTATGTTAAGTGTTATTATTGCTACCTCTACTGGAAGTTTTTAAGAAGATGTTGAATAACCATTTGTCTGAAGTGGTGTAGGGTTTCCTGCCTAAGCAGGGGGTTGGACTAGGTCCCTTCCAACTCTGTTATTCTATTCTATTCTTATTCTATTACAGTGGATTAATCATGGGGCCAGACTGGTACTCGGTCCAAATCCATTCCTCTTCTTTTCCTCTTCTCATTTGTACAGGGAATGTAAGCTTGGCTTAACTAGTATACCAGTGTTTTCCTAGGTCAAAAAACTGCAATGTTGAACTGAAATGTAGGCATATTGTGCATTTTCAATGGGCTGGGAGTGGGAAGAGGATGATGATGTTATCTGTTGTACTCAGGAAGCAAGGAGTGGCTTGTATTGGTGATGGACCACATGTCATTGTTTTAACCATTCAGTCATATGTGACTCTTGATAACTTTATAGGCAAGTGCTCTCCATGCTACCCTGTCAAGTACAGCTTCTTTCAGTTGTTGAATGTTCATCTTTGTATCAGTTTTGATGTTATCAAGACAGCATGTTCTTTGCTTGCCCCTTCTTCTTGTTCCATTAACCATTCCTAGCATCATTGACTTCTCCCTCTCTAATGAATTTGCATGCATGACATGGCCAAAATAAACCAGATATAGTCAATATCTCTGATGGGCCAAATAAAAAGTAAGGATTTGACCCAAGTAAATGGTAATTCAGGTACCCAACTGTGGGTAAGAGTGTAGGTTAAAGCAACATAGCTTAGTATTATGGGGACATGCAAAGTAGCTTAAATCTAACCTTAGTTTGTTAAGCAGGAATACTAGGTTTGGCCAGCACGAACAAAGAGTCAGAGTTCAATTCTTTCTGAGTCACACTTTTATTCAGATCTGGAAAAAGGAGGGTCCTTCTATAAAACTGGAAAAACCCCAAACGATTTATTCAGCATGCCTTTATACTTTAGTTGATTAAACAAGAAGGAAATACAGTTGTTTGACAAAAGTAAATAAAAAGCAGAAGTAGCTACAATGTCATTGTTCACCAAGTACATTTAGAAAGAAACATATTTTATTTAGTAACCTATTGCGCCGTATCTGTGGTTTCCTGTCATACCTTCCCTGGGCTATGGACAGTACATGTTATTACAACTCCTTTATTTTCTTTAATTCAACCATTTCAATGCTTAATCGTCTTAATCCTGATCAACACGCTTTCAGAACAGTGATACAGTATCGTGATCTATTATGTTGTTTTGATTTGGTTTCTTTCCTGTTATTCTCCAGTTTTCATCCAAAAAATAAAATCCATTATTACGTTTTCAACTTAATGTACAGGCATTTTATAAAAATGTTGTGTGAAAACTTTAGCAATAATTTCCTTGAGGTTATTTCTTATGTACATTTTCCTGTCACAAAGAATCTTTCACAAATCAATGTTCTGGTTTGTACTGATTTTATTCCAAAACTCCCATGAACCTATATATTTATTCTGTTTCTATCTATGTAGAAGCAGAGCCTGTGTTTTGAAGGATCATTCACATCCACTCTTTCATAAATACTGTATATACCAGATGATTTACTACATCTATAACCATGACTAGCTAATTATTCCCCATATTGGCTATGGAATTCTGGGAGTTGCAGTCCCAGAATTAAAATCTCCAAGGCTGAGGAACAATAATGTGAGCAGCAGCATCGTCACATTATCTGCAACACACAATTCTGTTGTAGTTTATAGCTAACTAACTCAGTAATGTTCATTCTGGCCTTGTGAGATTCATTAGACTTCAGCTTCCATCATTTTGAGCCGTACTGGTTGGGAATGATGGGAATTGTTGATTGACACTTCATGAAGGCATGCGGCTGGGAAAGCCGGCAGGCCAATTCAAAAAGGAAGGAGACAATGTATTGTGTTATGGAAAATGCTTTGTTTTAATACTATTTTTCTCCACCTCTCTCCCAATTTAGGTGGAAGGTCTAGATCAAAATAGCAAAAGGGTGCAAGGCCCTTATTCTATCATCATAAATGTTGTGGATATCAACGACAATGCACCCCAATTCAATAAATCACGCTACTTTGGCGAAGTTAGACAACACTCCAGAGCAGGTATTTGTTTCCATATTTATTCTGACTTATGTTTGAGCTTCCCATAAATTTTAAATATTAAACATGAAACTGAATATAGTATAAAAAGCTACTTTCCCTCTGTCTATGGAGATTCTCAGTCATCCAGGTCATGGTTGTCCCAAAGGTGCTTTTTCAAGAGGCAACTGGACTTTCTAGTTTTTTCTTTTTCTTTGAAGACGTTTCGCTTCTCATCCAAGAAGCTTCTTCAGCTCTGACTGGAATGGTCCATTCCCCACCATCCAGTCAGAGCTGAAGAAGCTTCTTGGATGCAAAGTGAAATGTCTTTGAAGAAAAAAAAAATCAGAAAGTCCAGTTGCCTCTTGAAAAAGCACCTTTGGGACTCCTTTCCCTCTGTTGTATTTCCAAGCAATCATGGAAGACTATGACAAACAGGCTAAGTTCCTGAAAAACCTACAGAGCTATTTTTGAAGAAGCTAGCCCTTTCAATGATCCAAATTTAATATGCATCCTGGATGCTTCTTTATTGGGCACACCTTTAAAGACAAAGCACCATGTAAAATTAAATGCCATGTTTTTCTCCTAAATTTATGTAACTATTTCAGGGATCCAGGTGAAACCCCAAATATACCTTTGCAACTTTGACTGAAGAGCAGAGTATAGTACTATTCCAATTTCCTCCCAAGTAGACTTAATTCAATCTTTCCTAAACTACTTGTCTTCATATCCACTTTGAGGTTTCTTGAAATATTAAGCTGAGGAACCAGATGGGAAAAATGGCTAAAAGATGTAACAGTTGACATGTGAAGGATATTTATTATCATTTATTTATTAGTTTGATTTATATGCCGCCCTTCTCCGGAGACTCAGGGCGGCTTACAATGCTTTTAAGCAATAGCCTTCATACTTTTGTATATACCTGTTTAGTAGGCTTTTCGGCCCCCCTAAGCAGTGTTCTATTTTATACAAAGTCAGCTTATTGCCCCCACAAACCAGGTCCTCATTTTATCTATCTCGGAAGGATGGAAGGCTGAGTCAACCTTGAGCCTGGTGAGAATTGAACTCGCAGTAATTGCAGGCAGCTGGCAGCTAAATACTACTTTTAGTTTAGTCCATTGCACCACCAGGCTCCCTATATAAAATATAAAATAAGAGGGCCAGTGAAAAGTTATTAAAAGAAAGGAATGTTCCCAGGGTCTTACAAATCAAAACCATGTGAAAAAGATAATCCCCCCTCCCTTTAAAATTAGCTAAACTAGCTAATCCTGACCTGGATGGATTTTCTTGATGTTTCTAACTAAAAAAATTATGCTTAGGATAGATTGGCATTTATGTTAAAACTCAGAGATTCTCCTTTAGTGCAGAGTGAGACTTTCCTTTGCCAAACTGTGTTTCTTTTCTTTTTTTAAAAAAATCCACCATACAGGAAAGCCTTTCATGTATGTTACTGCTTTTGACCGCGATGATCCCAGCACCTTACATTCAAACCTCAGCTATAGTATCCTTCATCAGTTTCCCAGCACTGATAAGATGTATTTTCAGATTGACAATGTTACAGGAGCAATTTCTACAACTGAAACTGGTAGGTAACTTTTCTCATAGTAATACTACGAATGTATAATGAAATACGGCATTCATTTATACAAAATATGAGAGGTCATGAAAAGATATTAATATAATATAAAATATAAATGTATTAGAAATATATACATACTTGAATAATATTTGCATTAGATAAATAATATAGAATTGTTACTGTGTATTATAATGGTATACATTATTTTTTTTCTTTATCTGACTTCTTGCACCTTTTCATTAGAGTGCTTTTTGTCTATTGTTTTCTTTGACACTGTTATCTTTGTGTTTTGCTTTTTTCTCTTTTTTGTTATTAATTAAAAATCAATAAAATATAAGATGAAAATAATTAAGTCTTGTACAGTTTAACCTAGACTTCATAGGTAACATATGGCCATGTCAAAGTCAATAGTCTTTCACATTTCTAAATCTAATTTTCTCACATTTGGGAAACATGCCATTTCCAAATAGACTTCAAATCCCCAAGTAAACTCTTAGTCAAACCAATCCTAGAAGGTTTAAATCCCCCCCAATGTAGAATGGGGTCCCAATGTTTTACTAGCTACATAGGGTTTAGTGTAAAAATGTGAAAGATACATAAAAGAAACCATTACATAACAATTGAGTGAGTCCAGAAATATTTCACGAGAAGAGACCTTCACTCCTCTGCTCACAACAGAATACCTTATGCCACCAGACTTGAAATTTTGGTCTTAGACAATTTAAACTACGCCACCTTTGGTCTGACCTAAACGTAGTACACAAAATTATCTGCTACAATGTCTTACCTGTCAATGACTTTTCCAGCTTCAACCGCAACAATACATGAGCACACAATAGATACAAACTTGAGGTAAACTGCTCCAAACTTGATTGCAAAAAATATGACTCCAGCAACAGAATGGTCAATGCCTGGAATGCACTACCTGACTCTGTAGTTTCTTCTCCAAGCCCCCAAAACTTTAACTTTAGACTGTCTACTGTTGACCTCAACCCATTCCTAAGAGGTCTGTAAGGGGCATGCATAAGTGCACCAACATGCCTACCATCCCTGTCCTACTGTCCCCATGTATTCGTATTCTTATCCTGTATTCGTAATCATGTTTATATTTATATTTGTTAGCTTATGTGTTTGACAAATAATAAATAATAAAATAATAATAAGATCTGGCTCCAGTACTTTGCTGGGCAAATGTGTTGTAACTTCTGAGAAAATGATGACTGGCAACCCTGGAAACTTAGCAAAAGCACCAATATTCTCACAAATGCAAAATATTTATGCAAACTGAAGAGAAACCAAAGTTTCTCCCACAAAAGATCCATTCCCCAAAAGCCTCCACAGTCATACATCATCAAAATCCGCAGATAAATGAAGCAGAAATAGATTCCTGTGCTGTTATATGTTAAAATGTCTTCTGTAGCTACTTGGTATTTGGGATCCTCGATAGACTTTGGCAGAAGAGATGAAAAGAAAGAAAACTAGGAATTGACTAATCACCTGTAAAACTGACTTTCACATATCTGTGTTTGGAAACCAGGGTTACAGCAGAACCTGCCATTATTCAGAAACATAAATATTATGGTAACAATCAAGCTTTATGAGAAAATAAGTGATGGGGTTATTGCTAAAGAAAGGGAGTTGTAATTGTTTCAGAATGTAGGAGAAAGAATGAGTGCATATTTTCAAGTTTTATTCTCTGTAACATTATTAGGAACAAAAAACTTGGACCCAACAATACGGAATGATTTTGTCCTTGTGGTGACAGCAAAAGATATGGCAGGACAGTCCATAAATTGTTTTGCTACTGATACTGATGTGTCGATCACTGTTTTGGAAAACGTTTGGAAATCTCCTCCAGAAGTATTGCTCATGGAGAACTCTACAAAGCCACACCCCATGAACATCACTCATGTAAGCTCCTAAAATTATCAGGCAACTCACCATCAATTATTAAAGACACAGTCTTTGACTTCCACCATGTATGCTGCAACTGGGCCATTCAGCAAATTCACTTCTCAATAGCAGCCAATTGAGCAATGCCACTGTAACATGAAAATATGATCTTGGATAATTAGAATGATTACTGTGAGAAAAATTATAGAGAGAAAGAATGGAATTGTTACATGATTGTAACAATTTTATATTGCCATCTAATTTAATTGGCATGAGATTCCCTAGAGGCGGTGGTGGGTTGCCCCCGGTTCGGACCGGTTCTCAAGAACCGGTAGTAAAGGTAAGTAGAATCCACCCCTGCCTAGAGGGAAAAGAAGCTCTTCCTTATGTTTCACAACATGGGCAGTTGTCATAATAAGCTTGGATAGTTTTGATAAAGAGGATAGAAATATCGTTAGAGATAAATCTGATAATGTCATATGTAATGGAAACATGTTGATATCACACAGGGGTGGGTTCTACTTACCTGTACTACCAGTTCGCAACGGGATCTCATGCACGTGCTCGCTTCGTTCGTACATGCGCCTTGCTTCTGCGCATGTGCAGATCATTGATGACGACATCCCGGATGGTGAGCAGGGCCTCCCGCCGGTTTTACTACCGGTTCTTGTGAACCGGTCTGAACCGGGGGCAACCCACCACTGATATCACATTGATATCATGTTGAGTGATATGTTGATTGTTCGATGCCCAGAGCATTTGACTGGCTACTATGACTAGTAGAAAAAGGAATACTGAAAGGTAATCTTTGACCTAAATATTATCTCCAGATAATAGAAATCTTTATTTGAATCGCTAGAACCTAAAAAGCAAAAGTGTCAGTCCACTAGAAAAGAATATCAACAAATTCATATCTGGTTATATCTCTACTATTTCAAAATGATCATTTTCTTTGAGTTGAGCTCCAACCAGGTGAATTCATGGATGCACAAATATAGTTTTAGCACCAAAATAGAAGCAGTTTCCAATTTTTAACTTTGAGACTATTGTATTTTCTGCTGTTCTTCCATCCAAGTAATAGCCAGTGCTTATTCTACATAGGCCTTTGCCATGATTATCTTGTAAGCCCTTGAGCAATAATCTCATTAGACTCATTGTCGGGTGCAAGAAATCAGGCGCCAGGATAGAATTCAAAAGCATTAAGAGTCAATGGACTTCAAGGGTCTGGACCTAGGTCTTTTACTGAGGCATAGTGACTCCAAACTGATGACACATTTGACCCCGCCTTCGGGCTCAACCTGGTCCTCTCTTATACCCATCCAGAATATCAACATGCACAAAACTTCGATTTTCCCAGAACTCTTCAATAGGCAAGAAGTTACAAAAAGCAACAGAGGAGGTTAATGCAAGAGAGCAAAAAATGTAGGCCAAATACAAGGTTGTCAATATACTATTCGAGATTCCTTCCAAACTTTTTGAACATTTTATAGATCTGTCGTTTCTTTCTCAAATAACTGATTGGTAGTCTTCTGTTAATGATGGCAATTGGGATTGGAATTATTATTAATTAAATTTATTTGCCACCCATCTTATTTTGAAGCAATTCTGGGCAGCTTACGCTATAAAGGAACTGGCATTGCTAACTAGCATGTTGGAAAGCACTATGGCACATGACTACACTGCTTAGCAATGGTAATTCTGGCAGTCCCAGTTGCATTAAAGAGAGAGAGAAAATATTTTTTAAACCATCTATCAGGTCAACACTTTTCATTTCTATACTTGCTGTTTACTTTTACACTGTAATATTAGGTACAATGGAATGATCCACATGCAACGTATCAAATTCAACCCATAGAAAAGTATCCTATTGAACTCCCATTTACAGTTGATCAGAATGGAACAGTTTATGTAACTAAACCACTAGACAGAGAAGAGAAAGACTACGTAAGTACATGAAAGTGGATAGCAGGTATGCTTTAAATATGGGGAAAGCTAAACTACAGTGCCTTTCAGGTGGTTATCTACTTGCATTTCATTATCAGCATTGCATTCTATGTTAGTTTTTTAAATTAATTATTGTTTACTCAGCTTATTAGATATCAATATTTCAAATAAATTATGCTACTCTTGAATGGGTTTGATATTTATTAGTTCGGTTCATTAGTTCAATTTATTTATTAGTTCGATTTATATGCCGCCCTTCTCCGGAGACTCAGGGTGGCTTACAATGCATTAAGCAATACCCTTCATACTTTTGTATATACCTGCTTAGTACAGCTTTTTGGGCCCCCCCTAAGCAGTGTTCTATTTTATACAAAGTCAGCTTATTGCCCCCACAAACCGGGTCCTCATTTTACCTACCTCGAAAGGATGGAAGGCTGAGTCAACCTTGAGCCTGGTGAGAATTGAACTTGCAGTAATTGCAGGCAGCTGGCAGCTAAGTCTACTTTAACAGCAGTTTAGTCTGCTGCGCCACCAAGGCTCTTGAAGCCTTTGCTCCATATGAGATGGAGCAAAACTCTGACAATGTAGTTTGTTCTACATTAGTAATTCCTTAAACCCGTGTTAATTATTCCTGCAGTTTTTCATTCTATAATTTTAATTATATATTCTATTTCAGTATTCATTCAGTATCTTTGCAAATGATGAGGAGGGAGACAGTCTGGCTGAACCAGTCACTGTTTCAGTCCGGGTTGTAGACATCAATGACAACCCACCTGTGTGTGACGAAGTTCTGACTAAATTTGAAGTTCAAGAAAATGAGAAAGTGGGTAAGAAATATTGCATTTCATGTGCTGCATGGGCAAAAAGAATTTAACGCAAAGCTTCTTTGGAAGTTAAATGAGTATAAAATTTAATATCACCATATCAGTTCTTATGAGTTTGAATAGCATAAGACCGTGATGACGAACCTATGGCTCGCGTGCCACAGGTGGCACATGGAGCCATATCTGTGGGCACGTGAGCGTTGCCCTAGCACAGCTCCAGTGCGCATGCGTGCACCGGCCAGCTGATTTTTGGGCCTTCTGGGCCCACCAGAAGTCAGGAAATGGGCTGTTTCCGGTCTCCGTAGGGCCTCAGGGGGGTGGGGGAGGCTGTTTTCACCCTCCCCAGGCTCCAAGAAAGCCTCTGGAGCCTGGGGAGGGTGAAAAATGGGCCTACCGGGCCCACTGTGCCGTTGCATGCCAAAAGCGGGGGTTGCACGGGGAGGGGGGTTGCGCGTGCATGCGCGGCAGGTGGGGCGCATTGAATTATGGGTGTGGGCACATGTGCACGTGACCCCTCTGCGCTCCCCCTGCTTTTGGCACGCGACTGCAAAAAGGTTAGCTATCACTGGCATAAGAAGTTCTAATAGAAGGATTACAGACATTTCACTACCCAACTAGGTAACATCATCAACACTCGCACATCTGAAAATACATACATGGTTAGAGAAAATGATAAAGCAACACACAGACTTAAAACCAGAAATATTTTTGTTAGGTATATTTCCAAAAAATTATAATAAAGGGGTTACATAATTAATAATACATGTGCTGACAGCAGCGAGAATTGTATTTGCACAATATTGGAAAAATGAGGATACACCTACAGATGAAAGTATAATTAGAAAAATATTAGACTGTGCAGAGATGGACAGACTGACATTAATAATAAAAGATAAGGAAGAAACAGAATATCTTTTAACATGGGATTTGTTTTATCAATGGTTAGATAAAAGAGATAGAAATTAGAGGATGAAAGATTACTGATATACTTATACTTATACTTATACACTGATATGTATAAGTAAATGATGCAAGAATTTCATTAGATATAAGTAAACATCAGTATTATTATTACGGTTGTTATTGTTATTATCATTATTACTACCAGTATTACCATTAACACTTTGTATAAGCAAATTGATCCAGACAATACATTGTTTATTAAACACTTATGTATTTTAAAGAAAAAAATGTATAAATAATAATAATAAAAAACCCACTCACACATCTGAAAGCAAATAGCTCAGAGAGCACCAAAAATTCCACAGCATGAATTACTTATGCAGAGGTGCTAAATATACAATTTAGGAGTTGTTGAGAATAAAATCGGCACACTTCAAATGAGACTGCACCTAGTCTCATCCTATCAGAAAATTAATTAGTGCTTGGTTCCCATGCTCAGGACCTGGATGGCTTCTCTTATCCCACAAGAGATACCTTGACCATACTAAAGAACCAGTCCTACCCAAATAGATCAGGTATGAAAGAAGATGGTCAGAACCTTGGGTCTGTAGTACTGAGAAGAACAGCTGTTTAGAAGTTTTAGTCTTTCCAAAATTGCATGTCTGCATCATGTATGGATGTCATGTCTTAATGGGATTGGCTAATTTATGGCTTAGTCCCTTGAGAACAACCAGTTAATATAAGTAATCATATATCATAGCATGATATATGAAATGTGCCCTTTTAGTTTATTCATCAAAGTGTGATCGAGTAAGTACTAAGTTCTCTGATTTGATAAGATGAGTATGAGTTGAGATCATGTATTAACATTGGATAAATGCATACTTTGTGCTTGGCCCACTGCCTACATAGGTCATTCATCACTTCCTCAATAAAGAAATGAGGTGATCACCTCCTCTCCTACCCTCTCCTCTTGACAAATTGTAAATGTATCCTGAACCTACATCTTTCAGATCTGCTTCAAAACTACTGTTTTCTAACCTCACCCATTTTTATATCTTCCAGAATGGATGGTTTCCTGTTCTTTATTCCTTTCTAATAACAAGTTCAATTTTCTGCAATGCTTTGCATACCCTCCTTCCAGTAGCTGGCTACTGGACTGCTGCATTTTCTGCTAGTTGACAGTTACTATATTTTTAAAAAAATCTTGAAATTGATCCAACAATAGGCCATTAAATTGATGATCAAATGTCAATCCTAAACACTCATGCTCCATTCAACACACCTCCCAGCCGGCACCCTTTTCATTAATATTAATATTAGCAATATTAATAATTATGCATATAGATTGATCCTAAAGCATTTTGCTACTGTATGGAAAGGTCCTTTATACATGCAATCCCCTCACTGCAAGGATGAAGTTTGGGGAAAAAAAGTTATTTTGCTTATCACTAATCGGTTTTTTGGCCACTCTGGATTCCACTGAAAAACATTAGCTGCCTTTTGTTCGGTTTTAAGGAGATCATGTTCCACACAAATAGCTCCATCATGAATTTGTGAGTAAGTATATATAGAAATCTTGTTAGTTCCCTTGCCCAATCCCAAAAGTTACATTTGTCTTTGTATAAGTAATTTATTTTATTTTCTACTATGCTTGTTTGCTATTGGTCTAACTACAATTTTCTCTGCGACCAACAGGGAATTTAATAGGAATTGTCCTTGCCTCAGACAATGATGAGAAGGGGTCGCTTAATTCTCGCCTGAAGTTCCGTCTTTTGGATCAGAACCCCAAAATTCCACAAGACAATCTCTTCCGTATAGAATTGGGAACTGGGTCAGTCCACTTATTCAAATCGGAATTAAACAGACAAGTGGCCAAAACTTACTATTTGGAGGTGAATGTGACAGATTCAGGTCAGTGCATTACACATTACGTGTATTCCCCAAATATTCTGTTAAAGCAACATGGATCACAAGATAGGGGTCGTTGAGGGCCGCATCAGAGTTGTGTTTGACCTTGGAGTTGGCGTGGCCAGGGTGGGTGTGGTCACCTTAATGTCACTCGTGTCGGGGGTGCCTGTGGAGGCCAGAATGCTCTGCCAGAGAAAATGGGCTCCTGAGCTCCATTTTCGGCTGTGACAGCCTCCTGCAACCCTCTGCCAGTGAAAACGGAGCTCGGGAGGACCCGTGTACGGCCTTCCCGAGCTCTGTTTTCGCTGGCAGAGGCACCATGGGCTAGTCCTTCACTGTTTCCAGGGTGGCCTCGTGGGCCAGATTTAAGTACCCCATGGGCCAGATCTGGCCCCTGGGCCTTGAGTTTGATACCCCTGGTCTACACTCTCTCATCTATACTTCTTTCATTTCTTCCATCCATCCCTTTTCAGTCCTTTTCTCCATTTCTCCTTTCATCAAGAGCCACACATGTAAAAGCAAAATTATAAATCTTTCATGTGCTCCTTTTAAAAAGAAAGTGTCTGTAAGTTATGGTCGAAAAGGGCAATATGCTGTCTACATGGTACTGCGACTGAAGCTCTACCTGCAACTCCACACCCCTGAGCTCCTACTTATAGACTTGAAATACCTTTTGACCATGCTAATGAATTTCATGGCAAGATTGCTGAAAATTGGTATCACCGTTTCCTTCCGTGTTGGAGTGGAAAACGTGAATATTCAGACATAAGCTCTAAAATAAAAGAATAACATTAAAATCCTTTATTCCCCTTGAACTAGTGGGAGTAGTACTAGTACAGTTAGCCCTTGATCTATGATCAGTTGCTTAGTGACCGTCCAAATTGCAATGAAAGCCAAACCTAAATGACCTGGATTCAAAGTTCTGACAGCTGCCCCTCCCTCCCCCCATGGCCACATAATCACATTTTGGGTTCTCAGCCACCAGCAGGGTCCTGCATCCCCATGATGGCAATTTAAGTTTTGGGGGTCTTTTTTGGCAAAAACCAACTATTGCTTCTGATTTTTTGGCAAAAAAAGAAAAAAGAGCCCATTGTGGAGGAATGGATTTGCTTAACAATCACAGCATTCATTTTATGACCACCACAAAAAAGCCATAAAATTGTGTTGGTCATGTTATGACCTGCTTAATGACTGGCACGATGTATGACTAAATTCCAGGCTCAGTATTGGCTGTAAATTGAGGACTGCCTATATTCTTATTTGTTAGACGTATTTCTTGTTTTTCCTACAAGAAGTCAAGGCAATGCACATTATCACTCGCTTCTCAGATTCCTCACATACATCCCATAATGGCAACTTTTGGTAGAGTGGGCTAAGAGGAAGTGACTGGTTCAAAATTCATTCTTGAGCTTTCAGAGCTGGGGTGAATTTGAGCCTGACTCCCTCTGATTCTATACCTATGAAGGGCTATTAATTGCTGTGAGATGTTTTAGTTATATTTGATGTGTCTAAAAGGTTTGAGAATCTGTTCTGTGCAAATCAGCTTACATTTGATTTCATTATATCCTTTTCCTTGTAGTTTTCTCAACTATATGTAAAGTGCAAATTCAAGTCATTGACATCAATGATAAGATCCCAATATTTGAAAAATCAGATGTGAGTATCTTGTTAACTAGTTTTGCCTTCACAAAATGGCAAACTTTTGGTTTGACAGTATCCTCTTCCGAGATATTTGCTTGACATGTACATGTTGTTGTTGCATATCTGTGGCTAGTTAGGTAAGTCTTTCCCAAGTCAATTCCCATCCGATATTTTAGGACTACAATTCCCAGAACATCCAGCAACAGACATGTTGAATGGGAATTTTAAAAGTTGTAATTCTTAACGCTTCTGGAGGAAATCAGATTGCAAAAGTCTGCACTGGAGCTCAGAAGAAACTCAAAGGAAAAATGTTGTTGATTTTTTTTAATAAAACGGCTCCACACAGTTACTTTGCCCTATTCTCATCTCAGACTGGTAGGATTAACACTGCCTAAATTGAAGTACATTCTTACTACATGAGTCCTGAAAAGATCCATACTATGCTGCTGCTGTCCATACAGCTTTAATATACCTGCCACTTAAAGGCTATGATTGGTAGATGAAATTGCATCACCATCTAGCATGTGAAAATTCTCCTCCAACTGGCACACACCATGTTCTGATTACTGCATGCACTCATCTTTTTTCTTTCCTGTCGGTTAACTTTTTATTTTTAAAAATATCTTTATAACAGGGGTTCCCAACCTCTGATCCGCTCACCAGTAACTTGTCTGAGGCTCGATCTGGGCCGTGCAAGTGGTGGGTAAGTGTGCAAAACTCCATTTGCACAAGTGGAGGGCATGCACAAAAATCCCTCCCCTCCCCATCACCACTGCTGCCATCAGTCCATATAGCCTGAAAGTTTGGGGACCTCTGCCTTAGAACTATCATTTGATTGATTCAGCATTCAACCTATAGATCTGTAGGTGGCAGCAAAGAGTTATTTATGCTTCTTGGCTGCCAACTGGTGATTGGTTGGATTTGTGCAGCCCAGATAGGGTTGCACAAAGCTGTTGGTGAACAGCTGGAGTTTGGGAAAGGGACTTTGCTGTGGATGTCAGTGTGAGAATTGTGATTATGTGAAGAAAAAGAGGAGCCAATTAGATAGGAAAGGGAATTTTCCATCACATTACAAAGCAGAAGAGACAGTCCTTTTATTATGCTTTCAATTCAGTGATGGGCTGTAACTGGTTTAACAACTGGTTTGGTCAACGTACACTTCATGCATGCACACGCCCTTTGTGCATGCGCCTAATGCGCTTGCGCGCAGCATTCAAAATACAGCAATTTGAAGCTCAGCTGTTTCCTTCTAAGGCAGCCCCGGTAAGTAGAACAGCAGAGGCACGTAAATCAGCTGAGCCAGAAAGAAGGAAATATAGGATTGGATAGGGTGGGAGTGGGTGGGAGGGGCCAGCTGATCGTCAGAACTATTGGTTCACCCAAACCGGTCTGAACCAGATGAATCCCATCCCTGTTTCAATTACCTTTGTTAGGTTGGAGAAAGATAGTCTATCATAAGGCTTTGCACAATTAAAAAAAAAAATAAGGATAATTGTAGGAGCCAAAATCCAGTCTCCCTAGCATCTAAATGAGAACCATAGAAGAGATCCTGAACCCTGAGATTACATGGAAGAGGTTCCCCCAGCACATTTGCTGAATCAACTGGAGCCAAACAGTAAACTCTAACCCAAAGTCACTTAAGTCTTCTTCTCCTTGTGTCATGAGTTGTCCTGATGGAAGAACTTGAGCATGAATAAGAGGGAAAACACCATTTTCAGGACGGAGAACTTTAAAAAGTCAGACTGATGAGATGTCCTCTAAAAATGATTAGTGGAACATCCTCACACCAGGGCAATGAGGCTGTCTGGAGATGGTCTTAGAATATTGTGCAACAGCAAATTATGATTTCAAGTTATTACATCATGAAGCTCTCTTCAAAATAGCCACTTCTTTTTAGAAATGTTATTTCTACTTTTCTGTTCTATTGTTTTATATTTATTGTGTTTTTCTTTTCATTCTAGTATGGCACTGTGATTGTTGCAGAAGATAAGAAAAAAGGATCTCTTATATTTGAAATACAAGCCACCGATGCTGATGAACCACACACTGGAAGTTCTCAGATTATTTACACCATCACAAAGGGTGACCCAAATAATAGTTTTACAATACTGACTGATCCAAATACAAATATAGGAGCTATTATAATTAACAAGGTGAATGAATGCCATTTCATTTATTGTTATATTAAATAGTTTTAATTAACATTTCCTCAAGGCAAGGCAGTTGAATGACTAAGAACAATGCTACATTAATTAGCGAATAGCAATAGGATGTCTGTATGATGCCTACAAATTTAAGAAAATTGGAGAAAAATGTCTTTATATGGTTGCAGTTTTGCAAGAGATTGAAATTTTATGAGATTCTATTTTCCTTTGAGATCTTGTGAGTTTTAAGGCCAAAATACTAAATGACATAATGAATGGTTTCATACTTACCAAACCTGAAGTTGCAGATTTTTGGACAATAGTTAAAAACAATAGACTTAGAAGTCTACCCAATAAATCAGTTTCTTCTTCCTAGTTCCTCCAACTATTTTGAAGGCAGTCATGTGATAAACACACATATCTTTACTTATGTTATAAAACATAGCCATATTATCTTTTTGTCTTTGAATACTGAGAAAACATAGAGATGCCAAATGCTCCCTTGAGGAGACTAAAGAGAAAACTCAAAAACTCAGTCAATCAAAGCTTCATTCCCTAGATAGTACAGACCTGAGAAAATGCCTCTTGTACACCTCAATATCAGGCACTTCCCACAAGTAGGCAGATAGCCAAAAAACTGACAAATCTAATCCTAGGTGGCAGAAAATGTAATTAGTCTTTCTAAAAACTGGGCCTCTCTTCCGGCAATGCCTATCAAACAGAGAATGGTTGCCAGTAAAAACAAGGTAAAGGTAAAGGTTCCCCTCGCCAGTGGTGGGTTCCTCCTGGTTCGGCCCGGTTCCGCCGAGCTGGTAGTGGTGACAATATGGTGTCACCGAACTGGTTCTGCCCCCCCGCCCCCTGGTCCCCCCACCCCCCCGACCCCCCGTGTTATTCTTACTTTTTATTTGGCCCCATCCCCAATCTATTGCTGCCTCCTGAGTTCCAGCTGATCGGCTAGAAGGAAAAAAACTATTTAAACTCTTGCTGCGGGGCTTCAAAGGGCCACCCTACAGCTGATCAGTGATAAAAGGCAGTTTAGTAGTAGACCGATGCCTGCAAAAACAAATGAGTAAACCGGTAGAGCTCTGCAAGCAGTTAAAAGCCTGGTAGACCAGTACCTCTGCTAAATCCTAAAGAATTGTCACATGACCATCAAGCTACACCCTCAAAATAAGCCACACCCACAGAACCGGTAGTAAAAAATTTTAGAACCCACCCTGCCCCTCACACATATGTGCTAGTCATTCCCGACTCTACAGGGCGGTGCTCATCTCCGTTTCTAAGCTGAAGAGCCAGCGCTGTCCGAAGACATTTCCGTGGTCATGTGGCCAGCATGACTAAATGCCAAAGGCACACAGAATGCTGTTACCTTCCCACCAAAGGTGGTCCCTATTTTTCTACTTGCATTTTTTAACGTGCTTTTGAACTGCTAGGTTGGCAGAAGCTGGGACAAGTAACAGGAGCTCACCCCGTTACAGGGCACTAGGGATTCGAACCGCTGAACTGCCGACCTTTCGATCGACAAGCTCAGCATCTTAGCCATTGAGCCACCACGTCCCTAGCGAAAACAAACAAGCAAACAAATAAATACATGTTTGGCACTTTAGCATTTTGACCTTAAAACTGTTTGAGATGCGTTTGATCTGCTTTGTTCTAAATAAGCAATGATCATTCAGGGTATCTGAATTGTGAAGTTTCATTTGCTGCTGTCAGGAAAGCTCTCCATGGTTTACCAAAGAGGGGAAACCCTTTGTTTAGCTTACCCTCAGATTAGGCCACGTGAACTAGTGGGGGGGGTCTAGTTCAGGGTCTACTTTGGGTCTACTTTGAGGTGGCCTGGCTGCAGATGATGGAAAGTTGTAGTGTCCTAGAATCAGTGGTGGGATTCAGCCAGTTCGGGAGAACCGGTTGTTAACTTTCTGAGCAGTTTGGCAAACTGATTGTTGGAAGAAATCATTAGGGCAGAGAACCGGTTGTTAAATTACTTTTTTATTTTTTATTTATTTTCAATTTATATACTGCCCTTCTCCCTGAGGACTCAGGGCGGTGCACAGCCAGAATTAAAAACATGAAATACAAATATTAAAAACAATTAAAATCTATATAAATTTGGCCCAAAATTTAAAAAACCACAAACCAATTAAACATTTAAAAATTTAAAAAATTTCTTCCTAAGCCAGCCCGGCTTGCTGGAAAAAGTGGGTTTTAAGGACACGGCGGAAGGCACTGAGGTCTTGGATTCTCCTTATCTCTGGGGGGAGCTGATTCCAGAGGGTAGGTGCCCCCACAGAGAAGGCTCTCCCCCTGGGGGTCACCAGCCTACATTGTTTGGCTGATGGCACCCTGAGGAGGCCCTCTCTGTGGGAGCGCACGGGTCGGTAGCAGCAGGTGGTCTCGAAGATAGCTAAGCCCTATGCCATGGAGCGCTTTAAAGGTGATAACCAACACCTTGAAGCGCACCCGGAAGACCACCGGGAGCCAGTGCAGCTCGTGCCGGAGTGGTGTTACATGGGAGTGCCATGCTGCTCCCATCACTACCCGCGCTGCTGTGTTCTGGACCAGCTGGAGCCTCTGGGTGCCCCTCAAGGGGAGCCCCATGTAGAGAGCATTGCAGTAGTCAAGGCGAGAGGTGACGAGGGCATGAGTGACTGTGCACAGGGAATCCCGATCAAGAAAGGGCCGCAACTGGCGAATCAGGCGGACCTGACAAAAGGTCCCCCTGGTTACAGCCGTCAGATGTTCCTCCAAGGACAGCTGCATATCCAGGAGGACTCCCAGATTGCGAGCCCTTTCTGTGGGGGCCAAGGACTCGCCCCCAATAGTCAGTGATGGAGTCAACTGACTATATCGGGATGCCGGGAGCCACATCCACTCAGTCTTGGAAGGGTTGAGCTTGAGCCTGTTCCTCCCCATCCAGATCCGCACAGCCTCCAGGCACTGAGACATCACTTCAAGGGCATCGTTGGGGTGGCCTGGGGTGGAGATGTACAGCTGGGTGTCATCAGCGTACTGATGGTATCTCACCCCGAAGCCACGGATGATCTCGCCCAGCGGCTTCACATAAATGCGTACTTGAATCCCACCACTGCCTAGAATCCTTCCTGGAGGATAGAAAGTTGGGGAACTGTGCTATAAATTTATTTATTTTTATTTTATTTTATTTATTTTATTGAATTTCTATACCGCCCTACTCCCGAAGGACTCAGGGCGGTGCACAGCCATGAAATAAAACACATAGATATACAAAATTTAAAATCGAATAAAATGAATTAAATAAATTTGGCTGAATTTGTACCCATAATTTAAGATACCCATATTTTAAAATACATTAAAAATTTAAAATTTACACTTAAAAGGGAGAAGATTTAGGCGAGGCCAGCTTGATGAAATAAAAGCGTCTTCAACTCACGGCGGAAGGTGCGCAGATCCGGAATCCTCCGTATCTCTGGGGGGAGCTCATTCCAGATCGTCGGTGCCCCCACAGAGAAGGCTCTCCCCCTAGGGGCCGACAGCCGACATTGTTTGGCCGACGGCACCTGGAGGAGCCCCTCTCTGTGAGAGCGTACTGGTCGGTGGGAGGCTGTTGATGGTAGTAGGCGGTCCCGTAAGTAACCAGGTCCTAAGCCATGGAGCGCTTTAAAGGTGGTAACCAGAACCTTGAAGCGCACCCGGAAGACCACCGGGAGCCAGTGCAGCTCGCGCAGGAGAGGTGTTACATGGGAGCTCCATGTTGCTCCCATAACCACCCGCGTGGCCGCACTCTGCGCCAGTTGGAGCCTTCGGGTGCACCTCAAGGGGAGCCCCATGTAGAGAGCATTACAATAGTCCAGACGAGAGGTGACGAGGGCATGAGTGACTGTGCGTAACGAGTCCCGATCTAGAAAGGGACGCAACTGGCGAATCAGGCGAACCTGATGAAAAATCCTCCCGGTCACGGCCATCAAGTGCTCTTCTAAAGACAGCCGTGAGTCCAGGAGGACGCCCAAGTTACGAGCCCTTTCCGTGGGGGCCAATGATTCGCCCCCAATAGCCAGTGATGGCGCCAGCTGACTATATCGGGACGTCGGAAACCATAGCCACTCGGTCTTGGATGGGTTGAGCCTGAGCCCATTTCTCCCCATCCAGATCCGTACGGCCTCCAGGCACTGGGACATCACTTCAAGGGCATCGTTGGGGTGGTCCGGGGTGGAGATGTACAGCTGGGTGTCGTCAGCGTACAGATGGTACTTCACCCCGAAACCACGGATGATCTCGCCCAGCGGCTTTACATAAATGTTGAACAGAAGGGGCGAGAGAACCGATCCCTGCGGCACCCCACATATAAGGGGCCTCGGGGTCGATCTCTGCCCCCCTGTCAACACAGACTGCGACCGGTCAGAGAGAAAGGAGGAGAACCACCGTAAAACGGTGCCTCCCACCCCCAACCCTTCCAGCCGGTGCAGCATGATACCATGGTCGATGGTATCAAAAACCGCTGAGAGCCTAACAGGACCAGGACAGAGGAACAGCCCCTGTCCCGATTCCTCCAGAGATCATCAACCAACGCGACCAATGCCGTTTCCGTGCTGTACCCAGGCCTGAAGCCCGACTGGAACGGATCTAGATACGACGCTTCATCCAGGTACTGGGGTAGTTGTCGCGCAACCACACTCTCAACAACCTTCGCAACGAAGCAAAGGTTGGAGACTGGACGATAATTAGCCAATACTGCCGGGTCCAGGGAAGGCTTCTTGAGGAGAGGCCTTACCACCGCCTCTTTCAAGGCGGCGGGAAAGACACCCTCACCCAACGAAGCATTTATAATCCCTTGGAGCCAGCCTCGCGTCACCTCCCGGGAAGCCAGCACTAACCAGGAGGGACACGGGTCCAACAAACATGTGGTTGCGTTCAATCTACCCAGAATCCTGTCCACGTCATCTGGGGTCACAGGATCAAACTCATCCCAGATAACAGTCTCAAGACCTGTCTCCGTTACCCTCGCTGGATCTATCCCGTCAGAGTCCAGACCAGTGATTTTGTCATACAGATACTGAACAAAATCCTCGGCTCTTCCCTCCAAGGGGTCCTCCCGCGCTTCCTGGTGGAGCAGGGAGCGGGTCACCCTAAACAGGGTGGCCGGGCGATTATCTGATGATGCAATAAGAGCAGTAAAATGAGTGCACTTTGCTGCTTTGATCGCCACTAGGTAACTCCTAATATGAGATCTTAGCAGTGTTCGGTCAGATTCAGAAAGACTAGCCCTCCAACAGCTCTCTAGGCGTCTTTTCCGGCTCTTCATCTCCCTCAGCTCCTCGGTGAACCAAGGAGCCAGGCGAGATCGGCGCCGGGTCAGAGGCCGCAAAGGCACGACTCGATCCAGGGCTCCAGCAGCCGCCCTATCCCAGGCGGCCACTAGGTCCCCAGATGAGGCGTGAGCCAGAACCTCCAGGATTGGCCCAAGCTCCATCTGGAACCTATCAGGTTCCATCAGGCGCCTGGGGCGGTACCATCTTACCGGTTCCACCTCCCTGCAGCGGGGTGCCGTGGTTCGAAGGTCAAGGCGAAGGAACGAGTGATCTGACCATGACAAGGGCTCGATGACTATATCCCCTATCTCAAGATCACTCAACCACTGTCCAGAGACAAAAACCAAGTCCAGTGTGTTTCCCCCCCTGTGCGTAGGGCCATGAATTAGTTGGGTCAGGTCCATGGCCGTCATGGAAGCCATGAACTCCCGAGCCACCTCAGACGCCTCACCCACGGATGGCAGGTTGAAATCCCCCATGACCATAAGTCTGGGGGTATCAACCGCCACCGCGGCAATAACGTTGAGTAGCTCGGGCAGGGCTGTTGCCACGTGGCAGGGAGCCAGGTACGTGATCAGCAAACCCATCTGAACCCCGTGGCCCCACTTCACAAGGAGGGACTCACAACCAGCTGTCTGAGGTACAGTGGCCTCCCTCGGCCTAAGGCCTTCTCTAATAATAACCGCTACTCCCCCTCCCCTCCCCTGTGACCTTGGCTGATGGAATGCGTGGAAACCTGGTGGGCACATTTCTACCAGAGGGACCCCTCCCTCTGGGCCCAACCAGGTCTCCGTAATACCCGCCAGGTCCGCTCCCCCCTCGTAAACAAATATATTTTGAGAAGATAATGTTTTCTTCTGATGTAAATTCCTGGTGGGTTTTTAATCCCTGTTTTAATTTCTCCTTTGCTTTTGTAGGCTCTTGATTTTGAAACAAATTCAGTGTATAACCTTACAATCAATGCTACTAATCCTGAACCTCTCGTGACTGGAATAAAGTATAATTCAAATTCATCTACTTTCTTACGGGTCCATGTTGCTAATGTGGACGAACCACCAGTTTTCCTCCATCCCAACTATATAGTTATGCTAGATGAAAATGTGACCATTGGTACCAATGTGACAACCGTAAAAGCTTCTGATCCAGAAGGATACCCAATAAGGTAAAGGCAAAAATCTATTTTTTGGGGGGGGGAATTAGAGTTGTAGTAATTGCATTGCTGAATCCAATCCAGAAGATTCTCCTGCTTTCTTGCCTTGAAAGAACCTCCTAAAATGTCATATTGTATTTTCATAGCCTGTTTAACTTGACTGCATGCATTTTTTGGATGAGCATAAAATATTGTATCACCAAAACATGATACAAGGTTGGGCTTGTAATCTAGGACATTTATCCAGAAAAACACCACTGAGGATTAAAAAGAGCCAAATTTAGCATGTGCAAAAGTAACCCCTGTATCAGTGGTGAAATCCAAATTTTTATACTACTGGTTCTGTGGGCGTGGCTTGGTGGGCGTGGTATGGATTGGTGGATGTGGCAGGGGAAGGATACTAAAAAATCTCCATTCCCACCCCACTCCAGGGGAAGGATACTGCAAAGTCCCCATTCCCTCCCCACTCCTGGGGGAAGGATATTGCAAAATCTCCATTCCCACCCTGCTCTGGAGCCAGCCAGGATGGTATTTGCCAGTTCTCCGAACTGCTCAAAATTTCCGCTACCGGTTCTCCAGAACCTATCAGAACTTGCTGAATTTCACCCCTGCCCTATATTACTTAATTATATTATAAAGATGTCAATTTCAGTAGGTAGAAAGGGTGTAATTCAGATTAGAGACCCACCATAGGGCTACATGTTTAAACATGTAGGTATATATGAATCTAGAGGACATACATTTTTTAAAAAATTTGATTTATATGCCGCCCTTCTCCGGAGACTCAGGGCGGCTTACAATGCGCTAAGCAATAGCCTTCATCCTTTTGTATATTTATACAAAGTCAGCTTATTGCCCCCACAATCCGGGTCCTCATTTTACCTACCTTAGAAAGGATGGAAGGCTGAGTCAACCTTGAGCCTTGGCGAGATTCGAACCTGCAGTAATTGCAGGCAGCTGTTCTTAATAACAGGGTGCTTTAGACCACTGTACTACCAAGGCTCAAGGCTCTTTTTCATACTTATGGCTTGATTTTTGAGTGATGGGACAGAAAAATAAGTGGCTTTATATTTAATTCAGCAGTATAATATATACAAATCTAGTTCAAAAACCCTATAACTATATTAATTAAATATACTTCATATAATTAAATGCCACGTTAACATGGCATTTAAAAATGTATTATGTTTGAATGAACTCTGAATAGGGATGCACCCAAGGTTTTGGGGGTGACCTTTCCCCTGATACTTCATGCTGAATTTCACTGGAATAGTAGAATAATTTTTCTAACACTTGTTAATTTCCTGTTGAAAACTATTGTCTACTGAAGCTTCTCTTTGCAACGAAGAATTGATGTGACTTTGAGGAGAATGTTAACATCTACTCAGTGTTATCAAAACCAGTCAAGATCATAGACACATTCCTGCAGTGTATTTGGTGTCAACAATTGCACAGTTGTTTTTCAGTACCCCCCTCTTCTATCCTGTTTCCATCAAAAACTTGTAACAAAAGGTGGGAAATTGATTCTCTGTGATAAGAAAGTTGAACAAATGGATCCAAACATGTTGCTTGATTGAGAGACAGTTTGGTATGCAATAGTGATCACAGTTATGAATAAAGCACCAGGCTAGAAACTCGGAGACCATGAATTCTAGTCTCACTTTAGGCACAAAGCCAACTGGATAACCTTGGTCAATCATTCTCTCTTAGCCTTAGGAAGCAGACAATGGCAACCACCTCTGGAATCATGCCAAGAAAACTGTAGGAATTTGTCTAGGCAGTTGTCAGGATTTAATATTGAGTTGAAGACTAAAAAAGGGAAGGGAGGGGAGGAGAGGAGAGGGAAGGAGGAGAAAGGAAAGGAAAGGAAAGGAGAGGAAAGGAGAGGAAAGGAAAGGAAAGGAAAGGAAAGGAAAGGAAAGGAAAGGGAAAGGAAAGGAAGGAAAGGAAAGGAAAGGAAAGGAAAGGGAAAGGAGAGGAGGCAATAAGAGAGGAGAGGAGAGGAGAGGAGAGGAAAGGAAAGGAAAGGAAAGAAGGAGAGAAGGCAATAAGAGGAGAGGAGAGGAGAGGAGAGGAGAGGAGAGGAGAGGAGAGGAGAGGAGAGGAGAGGACAGATCTTAAATAGATAAACCATTTGCCAGATAAAAATGGCTCATCTGTTCTTATGGGCAATGAACAGGGGTAGATTTCTAAAAGCAATGGAAAGAAAATGCACATATTGATGCATGCTACTGTTGAAAACAATGCTTTTTGGCTAAATTTGTTTCTCATGTCTTACTTTCCTGGTTGCAAGGTACTTGCTGAAGAAAAATAACAGGAATTGGCTGAAGATTGATCCTGTCAATGGACATATATATACAGCTGCCCCACTGGATCGTGAACTTAACCACACCTACATAGTAGAAATTGTTGCAACTGAACAAAGTAAGAAAGCAAAACTTTATCCTCCAAGGATACCTTGGCTGTTTGAAAGGGCCTTGGACAAAGTGCCTCCTAACAGGTTCTACATTTGACTTTCTCCATATATAGTGACAGTGGCTGGGAGTAGCAAGCTATTTAAAATTATCTATGTTCATATCAATGTTACAGTATGTATTTTAGGATTACATATATATTTAACATGGCAGCTTGCACTGCCTGGAAAGTCAGTCCACGGCAGATGTGTGCGCTACTGGGAGTCTTTACCAGGGCATTGGGATGTCTTTGATGCCAAGAGATGAAGGTGGTAGCACCAATCTTGGTCTTGTCTCAATAGGTATTTTAGCAACTTATAAACTTGAAATGGGGTAACTCACAGCTTTAATAAGACAAGTTGGCAGTAATGGGGTTGTAGATAAAACCAGATCTCCTCTTCTCCATTATGAACTAGAAATTGGTTATTCATTATTTCCAGTGTCAGAATGATAGAGAGAAGTGTTTTTCTGTAAAGATCATAGCAACTACTGTACCTTCAGCCTACAAAACAACTTCTAAATTTTGAAATCTGCCCCTTAGCTCTGTTCTTTTTTGTAATGTCTACAAGCATTACCAACCAGCTATACATTTCTCAAAACAAGTTTTAAAATATCCACTTGCTCTATTGAAATGTACAGGCAGACCATCTAAAAGCAGTGTTGTACAACTGATACTGCATCTCCTAGATGTCAATGATAATCCTCCGCATTTAGTAAACGAGACTGTGTTCTTGTGCCACCCACTTCAAAGAGACAAGAGTGCAAAATTTGAAATTGCTGATCGAGATTCAGAAATTCCAAAATTCACATATTCCCTCATTGGTGGACTGTATGAGGACAACTGGATCATTTCTAAAGTGGATGGTAAGTATGTTTGTGATTATGGCGTGCATAAGCATACCAGTGTGCCTGCTGTTCCTGTCTTACTGTCCCCATTTATCTGTACTTACTTCCTAGCTTATGTTTATGTTTATACCTATACCTATGTTGTAATGTTTGACAAACGAACAAATAACACTAATAGCACCTAGACTTATATACTGCTTCACAGTCCTTTACAACCCTTTCTAGGGGATTTACAGAGTCAGCATATTGCCCCCAACAATCTGGTTCCTCATTTTACCGACCTTGAAAGGATGGAAGGCTGAGTCAATCTTGAGTCGGTCAGGATCAAACCCCTGGCAGTCAGCAGAATTAGCCTGCAATACTGCATTCTAACCACTGTGCCACCACGGCCCTTTTAAGCTGAAGACAATCTTCATTTAGAATTTCTTATCTCCTTTACTTTCTTCTGTTGAACAAACACATTTATTTCTTACGGTTATTAGATATGTGAGTGCATCTCTTACTGTTTTAGGATAGTCCTCTTAAGGAATCAGGTTAAGAATTTGTGCTTTGTATCTGAAAACTGAGATTACTGCTAAAGCCAAAAAATCTTTTCCCCACTTAAATTGGGCCCATTTCTGATAAGATCCGAGCTGCCCATGGTGACTACCTACCCTGTTTCCCCCAAAATAAGACATCCCCTGATAATAAGTTTTATTTTATTTTATTTTGGATTTATATACTGCCCTTCTCCCGAAGGACTCAGGGCAGTGAACAGCCAAAGATAAAACACATACAATATAAAATTTACAAAACAATTTAAAACATATTAAACAAATTTGGCCCATACTAATTTTAAAACCCCTTTTTAAAAAGCAAATTAAAATTGAACAGTTAAAAAGAGTTAGGCCAGCCCAGCTTGTTGAAATAAAAAAGTTTTGAGGGCACGGTGGAAAGTGCGTAAATCCGGGATCCTCCGTATCTCCGGGGGAGCTCGTTTCAAAGGGCAGGCACCCTCACAGAGAAGGCTCTCCCCCTGGGGGCCGCCAGTCGACACTGTTTGACCGACGGCACCCTGAAAAGCCCCTCTCTGTGGGAGTGTACTGGCCGGTGAGAGGCTACCGGTGGCAGAACTTCTGGGCTTATTATCACATAATAATTGGGCTTATTATCACATGGCAATAAACCCAAGCACTTATTTCAGGGTTCAAAAAAATATATAAGACAGGGTCTTATTTTTGGGGAAACACGGTACTTCTGTTATACAGGTAGTCCTACACTTACAACAGTTCATTTAGTGACTATTCAACCTTACAACATCAACCGTTGCAGCTTCCCCATGTTCATGTGATCAAAATTTGGATACTTGACAACTGGCATGTATTTATGATGGTTGCAGTATCCTGGGATGATGCGATTCCCTTTTGCAACCTTCTGACAAGCAAAGCCAATGGGGAAACCAGCAGTGATTCACTTAACTAATGTGGCAAGAAAGGTTGTAAATTGAGGCAAAACTCAACTCTCTCACTTAGCAACAGAAATTTTTGGACTCAGTTGTGGTGGTAAGTCAAGGACTACCTGCATTCAGGTTTAATTATTGCTACTCACTCTGCTTGGGGCTACCTTTGAAGAGCCTTCAGATATTCTAGTTGTGGCAATGTGCATCTGCATGAATGATAGTGGCTGTTCATTGGCATAACCATGTTGCACAGTTCTTCAGAGGCTGCATTGGTTAAGTCTTGTGTTGAGGCACAATTCAAGCTACTGCTGATAACATTTTAAACCTTAGAGAATAACTCAGAAATCACGTCCTTCCATGCCAGGGATGGTGAACCTATGACACCGTGCCAAAGATGACATGCCAGGACATTTTGGGTGACATTCCAGTGTTCACCAATACCCGACAACTCTTCTCAAAAGCACAACCCATTTGCATATGATTTTCAAGGCCTCAGGGGCCACACCAGTAGTGGGTTTCAAATCCTGGCGCTATCAGTCCGCTATTGGGAGCACACGGGCATGCGTGCTTGCTTTGCGAGCGTGTGGCTCTTCTGTACATGCACAGAGTGTTTTTGATGACGTCTGAGTGGGTGGGCAGAACCTCCTGCCACCGCAGCTACCAGTTGGCCCGAACCGGGGCGAACCGGTAGCAACACACCACTGAGCCACACAAACATGGGGCGTCCTTTCACATGGTCCCCAGTATTGTGCAAAATGGGGCATGCTTTTGCATAGTTTTTGGAGGCTGCATAGGCCACAGAACAGAATTCTCATTGTAACTTAAGGAACTAGGGCCTTGGGACATCTGGAGCAACCTTGAGTAGGGGCCTGTCAACAGAAAAAAGACTACCACATTAAGGTTAGTGGCACATGGCAAACCCTGAGGAGCACTGGGTTGCAAGGCAATTGTGCCATTCCTCAAGACTTGCGTGCTTGGGGAACGATGTGAGATGGTCTTTTTGAGTGGCGGCAGTGGGGCTAGGACTGAAGTAGTTCTACTTCAAGCCCGACCTCAGTGCTGCTATCGAGTGCTGCTATTTAGGGTAGTCTAGATGGGGGTTGGGCAAGATAGATAGTTAAATTCTGTTTTGTTTGGTGTGTGTATGTGTGACATACTAGCAGGGATTGGTTAGACATTCAGGAGTTCTTGAAGTTGCAAGGTCGGGCCATGTAACACCATGAGTGAGCTGCACTCACACCACCACGTGTGAGCTGCACTGGCTGCTGGTTTGCTTCCACATGCAATCCAAGGTGTCAGTAATCACCTTTAAAGTCCTTCATGCCATAGGTCCAGGCTATTTGTGGGATTGTCTGATCCCACTGTGATTGGCCCAACCCACTCATCCCGGCAGAGGAGGCATGTTGTGGGTCCCATCAGCCAGGATATTCCGGTGGGCACGGTCCAGGAGGAAAATCTTTTCTGCCATTGCTCCTGCCCCCTGGAATGAAGTTGGCTTCAACCCTCTTGACCTTCCGCAAGAGCCTAAAGACCTGGCCCTGCAGCTGGCTTGGGGCTCCAGTGTCATTGCAATGACAGACTAACAACAGATGCCACCTTCCTATTCACACCTTCTCACTCCCTCTCCATGTTTTTTTATTATTTAGTTCCTATTGTGCATAAATTTTATACAATTTTATCTTTTTAATATTCTAAACTGCCCCAAGTCACACCCCGATGGGTGACAAACAAACAAACAAACAAGAATAAATGATAGATAGATAGATAGATAGATAGATAGATAGAAAGATAGATAGATATAGATAGATAGATAGATAGATAGATGATAGATAGATAGATAGATAGATAGATAGATAGATAGATAGATAGATAGGTGATATAGATAGCTAGATGATAGATGATAGACAGATAGACAGATAGATAGATAGAGATAGATAGAGATAGAGAGATAGAGATAGAGAGCTAGATAGTTAGAGATAGAGAGATAGATATAGAGAGATAGATAAAGCTAGAGCTAGAGATAGATAGATGATAGATAGATAGATAGATAGATAGATAGATAGATAGATAGATGATAGATAAATAGGTGATATAGATAGATAGGTGATATAGATAGATAGATAAATAGATGATAGATGATATAGATAGATAGATAGAGATAGATAGATAGATAGAGGTAGATAGATAGATAGAGATAGAGAGATAGATATATAGAGATAGATAGATAGATAGATAGATAAAGATAGATAGATAGATGGATAGAGATAGAGATAGATAGATAGACAGATAGATAGACAGATAGATAGATAGATATAGATAGATAGATAGATAGAGATACTGTAGATAGAGATAGATAGATAGAGATAGATAGATAGAAATAGAGATAGATTTAGATAGATAGAGAATGAGATAGAGATAGAGATAGAGATAGATAGATAGATAGATAGATAGATAGATAGATAGATAGATAGATAGAGAGAGAGAGAGAGAGAGAGAGAAAGATGATAGATTTTTGACTTGCCCTGCCTGTTTCCTAAGATTTGACAGATACTCTCGTCTCGTCTCAACCTGGCAGATGCATATTTAAGAGAAAAGACAAGTTCTTTTCATTGGCTGCTATTAAACTCTGGAACTATCTTTGGAAGCCTGGTTAACATTCTCTCTATTGGTACTGCATCTACTGGTTACAGCCTTTGAGTGTTTTTTGGGGAAGGTATTCTCTCCATAGGCAACATCAATGTTAGAAGTTACTACGTCCTGCTTCCAGTAGTTTGATAACATTTATTAAATATTATTAAATATTTTGTCATTGTTTTTGTAAATGTTTTGATATTGTATTTCTTTTTCTATCTTTTCTCTTCAACGCTTAACATTTGTATTAAATTTAAACGTTGTAAACTTACGTAGGTGAAAAATATGCATTGGAAGATTAATAGACTTCCAATAGGCTACTAATCTTTATATATAAAAATTAAATAACTAAATGAATGCTGAATTCAGCCATGTTGTAATCAGTGAGCAAGTGAAGATTTGATATTTGTTTGGATGTGGTTAGAAAGTGAAGGCCTTTTAATGCAGTGTTTCTCAACCTTGGAAGCTTGAAGATGGGTGGACTTCAACTCCCAGAATCCTGGGGGATTCTGGGAGTTGAAGTCCACCCATCTTCAAGCTACCAAGGTTGAGAAACACTGTTTTAATGCTTTAATTATTTAAATTAAATTATTTAACTTTTGTCAAGTATTATGATCATTATAATAATCACAATATCATCATCCTATTTGTTTCGCCAGACAATCATGCTTCCATTACCCCAAAGAACTTGGAACTTGAAGAAAAGGTCTATGATGTGCCACTGAAAATTAGTGACAATGGAAGGCCACCAATGGAAGCTGTTGTCATTCTGGAAGGTATACAGCGAAAATGTCACTTATTGTGTTTGCAAAATTGTATTTTTATTATGGCACATGCTAGAGTTCATCTTGCATAATGGATGTATGTTTTTATTATAGTGAACGTGTGCAGGTGTGTCAATGACAGGTGCTTTATGGAAATCAACAATCCAAATCCATTTCCAACAGTAGGAGCAACAATTGGAATACTGGTTGGTGTTCTGCTAGTTATTGGTAAGTGTGTGTTTTAAATACATAATACAGAATAACAGAGTTGGAAGGGACCTTGGAGGTCTTCTAGTCCAACTCCATGCTCATGCAGGAAACCCTATATCCGTGGTGGGGAACCTATGGCATGCGTGCCACAGGTGGCACATGGAGCCATATCTGTGGGCATGCAAGCGTTGCCCTAGCTTAGCTCCAGTGCACATGTGCACTCTGGCCACCTGATTTTCGTGCCTTCCAGGCCCACCGGAAGTCAGGAAACGGGCTGTTTCTGACCTCTGAAGGGCCCTTGGGGGGGTGAAGAAGGCCATTTTCGCCCCCCATGCTCCAGAAAAGACTCTGGCCCACTGTGCCATCGCGGTGTGGGAGTGTGGGGAGGTCGCACATGGGGGGCAGGGCATATTGAATTATAGGTGTGGGCACGTGTGTGTGCGACCCCCCCCGCACTCCTGCCACTTTTGTCACACAACAGCAAAAAGGTTAGCATTCACTACCCTATATTATTAATTGATATACCTATCAAGAATTGAGTTAATGTCCATGGGGTTTGTACAGAATAGAATAAAATAGAATAACAACTTCTGGAGGCAAGTTGCTCCACTGATTAATTGTTCTAACCATCAGGAAATTTCTCCTTAGTTCTAGGTTGCTTCTTTCCTTGATTAGTTTCCACCCATTGCTTCTTGTCCTGCCCTCAAGTGCTTTGGAGAATAGCTTGACTCCCTCTTCTTTGTGGCAGCCCCTGAGATATTGGAACGCTGCTATCATGTCACCTCTTTTCATCAAACTAGACATACATCACATATCCAATTACAGCAACCATTCTATATATGTTTTAATCATATGGTTGTTAGTAGGTCTGATTACTAGAAGCTACACTAGAGCTTCCACCAGGGATGAAATGCTCCCGGTTCGGACCGGATTACCCAATCCGGTAGCGATGGCGGTGGGTGATTCGGAGAACCGGTAGCAAAAATCCCTGCCCCCCCCCACCATGCCCAGCTGAGCCGCGTGACCATCAGAGGGGTTTTTTTTTTTTTACTTTTAAAAACATTTTTTCTGCAACCTCTTGGCCGAAGAGGTGGTAAAAAAAATGCTTTGAAAAGTCTCTGGTAACTCCCAGCTGAGTTGCCTGATCAGCAGAGAGGTATTTTTTAAAATGCCTCTCTGACAATCCCAGCTGAGTTCCTGATCGGCAGAGAGGCTTTTCAAAGCATTAGAAAAAATGCTTTGAAAAGTTTAAAAAAAAAAGAAAGTTGGCCATGCCCACCCAGTCACATTACGTCCCCACCAAGCCACGCCCACAGAACCATTAGTAACAGATTTTACATTTTACCCCTGGCTTCCACCCACTGTTTTGTTTCATGGAATGGCAATGATAATTGCTGGAGGAATAAGAGAGCAATAAAGTGGCAAAAACTGATATGGAATTCTTGGTGTTCTCTGAGCTTGGTTGTTTGCTAGCAGATGTTTCATTACTCATGAACACGGATGATGTTACCTAGTTCAGAGGTGGGCAACTATGGCCCTTTTATGACTTGTGGACTTCAATTCCCAGAATTCCTGAGCTAACATGGCTGGCTCAGGAATTCTGGGAGTTGAGGTCCACAAGTCCTAAAGTCCTAAAAGGGCCATAGTTGCCCACCCCTGACCTAGTTAGTAGTGAAACATCTGCAAACAAACAACCAGACCAGGGGTGGAATTCACTTGCCTTTCCTACCAGTTCGCAAATGTGAACGTGCAAGCAAAGGTGTTTGCACATTATGTCCGGGCAGGTGGGCGGAGCCTCCCACAGTCGCTGCTACCAGTTCTCCCGATCTGGCTGAATCCCATCACTGAACCAGACTCAGAGAGCACAAGAACTCCACTTTTTAGCCCTGAGATTCATATACAGGTAGTCCTTAACGTAGGACTACAATTGAGCCTAAAATTTATGTTGTTAAGTGAAACATTAGCTAAGTGAATTTTCCCCCATTTTATGACCTTTTTTGCCTCAGTTGTTAACTGAAGTTGATAAGATAGTAACCCGGTTGTTAAGTGAATCTGGCTTCCCCATTGCCTTTGCTTGTCAGAAAGTCGCAAGAGGGGATTACATGTTCCTGGGACACAGCAATGAACGAATAAATATGAACAAATTGCCAAGCATCTGAATTTTGATCACATGATCGTCAAGATAACTGTGAAAAACTGTCATATGTCACTTTTTTCAGTGATGTTGTAACTTTGAACAGTCACTAAATGAACTCTTGTAAATTGAGGACTACCTGTATTCTTTTCTAGTAGAAAAACTGATATTACTGCAATATAATGCTTGCAAAAGAGTACAGCATTTTGTGGACAACATATAAACCAGGGGTGAAATGCTCCCGGTTCGGACTGGATCGCCCGATCCGGTAGCGATGGTGGTTGGTGGTTCAGAGAACCGGTAGCAAAAATCCCTGTGCCCCCTCCCCCCATGCCCAGATGAGCCGTGCAATCATCAGAGGCTGGTTTTTTTTACTTTTAAAAGCATTTTTGCCACAACCTCTTTGGCCAAAGAGGTTGTAGGGGAAAAAATTGCCTTTAAAAGCCTCTGGCGATCCTAGTTGAGTTGCCTGATCATCAGAGGCTTCTAAAAGCATTTTTTTTCTGCAACCTCTTAAGGTTGTAGAAATAATGCTTTTAAAAGTAAAAAAAAAAAAAAGTTGGCCACATAACCCCTCCGCCAAGCCACGCCCACAGAACCGGTAATAACAAATTTTAGATTTCACCCCTGATATAAACTCTAGGTAGGGATAAGAAGAGATTGGACAGCCATTTGTCCAGAATAATACAGGGTCTCCTGCTTGAGCAACGGATTGGACTATAAGACCTCCAGTCTTTCCAACTCTGTTATTCTGTAGTCTAACATGTTGCTTATATCTAGTAGATGTCTAAATGTAGAGTCATCTTGACTCTATTAATTTATTCTTCAAGTGCCAACTTTCTACAGTTGGATAATAGTTATTGGGTTTAGCCTGAAGAAGACAGTTTGATAATACCAGAATACACTGTACCGCATCCCTTTCCTGGAGATGAAATGAGAATTCGTGAGGAATTTGAAAACACTTAAAGGAGCCAGGATGATTGATAGCGCTATTAAAGAATTTGCCCTTTCAATATATAAATAAAAAATAATAATATTTAGACTATAGATTTGTTTTTATAAAGATAGAACTTGTGAAAATAGATTGAGTTAGCCAAGATCTGGATTTTTGGAGGAAAAATATTTATAATTCAGGAATTACATAAAACAGGCTGAGTTTAATATTTGCCTGAGTGGTAGATCCAGTCCCCAGTTTCATGTTTGAAATCAAGAGCGACCATAGACTCATTTTATTGTATTTCTTGGCCAGGAACTCTTGAAATCACCAAGAGTTACAAGAAATAAGCAAAAGCAAAGTGTTCCAGATTTTAAGTTTGAAGGCCTGAGACCCCACCTTGAAAGTACTTCATTTGAAAAAGGAACGTATTCTTTTCAGTCTGGTTTTGTCTTATCTGCATAGAAACTCAGAACAGGAAGCTGTAGGCAGCTTAGTTAGGTCAGAATAAGATTTGCACATTTGACAAGGAAGGCTGAAAGCAGACCCTGAAGATAAACCATAGCTAGATGCAGAGGATATGGTTAGAACAGTACCTAGAAGCTTGTTGCATCTTGCGCTGAGGGGAAAGCAGGGGTCTATATGGTATAGGTCAGGGGTCTGCAACCTTAAACATTCAAAGAGCCATTTGGACCCGTTTCCCACAGAAAAGAAAACACCGGGAGCCACAAAACCCTTCCCGTGCCTGACTATTTGTTGAGTGGCCACAAAACTAGCATATGTAGTTGAATTAAACGTTCTGTTTTCTTCTGAAACTTTTCTTTTCTTGGATTTATCCATGGTTGGTCCAGGGGTGAAATGCTCCCGGTTTGGACGGCTCGGGCGAGTAGGTAGCAATGACAGCTGGTGGTTCGGAGAACCGGTAGCAATGGCAACCCGAGACACCCGCCCAGTTGTCGTTACTTCCTGCTTTTACTTCCAGAGAACAGGTAGTAAAAAAATGCTTAAAAAGTTAAAAAAAAGTTCCGACGATCAGCTGAGCGACGCGTGATCGTAGGAACTTTTTTTTTTTTTTTACTTTTTAAGCATTTTTTTCTACCAGTTCCAGAGAAACAAAGCGCTCAGCTGCTCCCCCTTTTCTCTCACCCTGAGCTTTCTGCTATGGATTTTCATGCCTTGCTTCACACGCCCGGGATTGTCGCCCTCATCTTCTTCTTCCTCCTCCTCTCCAATTGGAAAAATACCAGGAGCGCAAAAAGAAGCGCTTGCTTGCTCTTGCTGTTTTTCCATTTGTAAGGAAGCTTTCGTGAAGGCAAGTCTGGCTTCCTGCTCTGCTCGCTAAAAACCTTACCAGTACTGCTGTGCACACAGAGTGTGTGTGTCTTTTTGCTCCTGGTCTTTCGCAGCAGCCTGTGCCTGCTGTCCCATCCCCAGCCGGCTGAACCAGAGTTGGAGAATTCACCCCTTCAATCCACCCCCACCTTCATTCCTCTTTTCTTTGGAGGCCAACCTGAAGGAGCCTCAATCATTCAAAAGGTCTTTTAAAGCCTCTCTCTCTTTCTCTCTCTCTCCCTCCCTCTCTCTTTCTCTCTCTCTCTCTCTCTCTCGCTCTGTGTTGCACTGAATGTCGATGTGGAGGCAGGGAGGGGGAGGGAAATGACCCCTCCAATCTACCCCTGCCTTCATCCAAAGGTCTTTTAAAGCCTCTGTGTGTGTGTGTGTGTGTGTTTGCTTCTGGTCTTCGCAGCAGCCCATGCCCGACATCCACACACACACACAAGCCACGCGCACAGCGGTACTGGTGAGATTTTTAGCACAGGAAGTCAGACTTGCTTCACAAGGTACGAAAGCTTCCTTACAAATGGAAAAACGGCAGGAGCAAGCAAGCGCTTCTTTTTGCGCTCCTGGCACTTTTCCACTTGGAGAGAAGGAGGAAGAAGAAGATGAGGGTGACAATCCCGAGCGTGTGAAGCAAGGCGTGAAAATCCGCAACAAGAAGCTCAGGCTGAGTGAAAAGGGGGAGCAGCCGAGCAATTTATTTCTCTCTTCCCCCCCCATCTTCTCCCAGACTGGGTAGCTGAGGTAGAAAGGCTTGCAATCTTTGGGGCTAGGAGGCATTGGATCTGGCTTGGCAAGGGGGGTCAGGCTGGTCAGGTGCTGATCATCGGAAACTTTTTTTTTATTTTTTAAAGCATTTTTTACTAAAAATGCTTTAAAAAGTAAAAAAAAAATGGCCATGCCCCCCAGTCACATGACCACCACCAGGCCATGCCCCCCAAGCCACGCCCACAGAACCGGTGGCAAAAAAGATTAGATTTCACCCCTGGGTTGGCCTACCAGGGGTTGAAAAGCTCAATAAATTGTGTGCCGGAGAGTGTCACACATTGATGGCTGTGACGCATATTTTGAGTGGCAGGGAGCCGCAGCAGAGGGGTGAAAGAGCCACACGCGGCTCCAGAGCCGCAGGTTGCTGACCCCTGGTATAGGTCATGCTATGAACACCTGAACAGCACAATGTCCACATGTACTTACCATGATGAACAACATCACTTACACACATACTGTATTGATAAGAAATCTGTAACCAACCATTTTATTTCTGTTTCGAATTTCCTATACCCTGAGGTATAAAAATAAAATGCCAGTCCTCCTCAGTGCTCCCCCCAGCTCTTTGCTAACAGAGAGACCCTTATTTTTGATCAGAAATAAAGAGATATATTTCCATTTTTCTCAACCCTGCGTTATTGAATGGCGCTGGGTAAATGAACCACAGTTTGGCTCTTGGCCAACAAGCTGACTGCATCAAGAAATGCAGATAAAATAACTGCAATTCCAGAACACAAGCCTAGTATTGTTGACCTGGGCCCTGATGACACAGTATATGTGCAGATGGCTCCTGTTGCCTCAGGTACTTGCTGAGTCAGGGATTCAGAGCAATGGTGGGTTGCTCCCGGTTCAGTCTAGTTCTATAGAACCGATAGTAAAACCAGCGGGAGGCTCCGCCCACCCGCCCCAACATCATCATGGGTAATCTGCGCATGCGCAGAAGCTTCTCTGCGCGTGCTCACATTGCGAACTGGTAGTAAAGGTAAGTAGAACCCAGAGTAGAGTCATGGGAGGTCACCAGGGAAAGCACCCAAGATCCCAAGTCATCCGAGAACATGCAATGTCTTTAGGGAAACACCCAAAAGAACATCTTTAGCTATTTCTGGCAATTTCTACTTCCTATTTTATCTATGGTGCACCAGCCTCTCTGGGTAAATCTGGCACAACACTATAGTACATCTGTCGTGGTGGATGTTTGCATGACATTGTCCTTTAGTCATTATCATCAGGTCTGCGTAAGATCTGGACTCCTGGGCGGAGTTTGGCAATTACTTTTCTAGGTAATTATTAGGGTAGACTGCCATTCATTGGAGAAATGATTGCACTGATGAAATGATACTATTAATTTGGACCTCCAAAATGGCCTTCACACTTGTGTTGGTTGTAGAAAAATAAAAGACAGATGCTGATTTTCATGGAAGGATTATTGCTCAGTTGTAGAACACAACTGTTTTTGTATGAGGACAGTTCTAGGCCAACAGGCCCTTGCAACTTTGGTGAAGAAGATGTTATGGTTTAGTTTTCTTACTGATCAGGTTTGACTCTGCTTAGCTTTCCAAGTTTGACTGTTATCTAAATGTTGCCTCCTAAGTAGGTTCATGTTTAAATTAAGAACAATAAAATAAAATTACCTAGTTGTAATTAATTTTCTAATAACAGAGAAACACACCACTATATTTGGAACCATTAAACTGATCATTGAGAGTTGACTTCATATGTTTTCGAAAATAACCATATAAAAGGTTCTGAACTTAGTCTGGAAAGTACCATGTACTTAGGCAACATATGAACCCATTCAAACCCTGGTTTAAGACCAAATTATAGTACATTTAATATATGATTCTTAGGATACAACACTCATTGATATCATTTTAGATTAATCCCAAGTGATTGTTAATAAGATTGCATTGTTATGAATTGGAATGAAATACTCTGGTGATCAGAGTCAATATTGCTCTGCAAAGCAGCTCTACTTCACACATGTCTACTTTCTATATTTTTATTTTGTTCTTTTTTCGTAGGTCTATATGTGCATTACTGTTCTAGCCAGGGTTTTTCCTACGTAAATCAAGATGTTTGTTTAGCCATAGTTAAGTGACATCCCAAATCACTATTTTCTAGGCTTTATCAGACATTTAAGCAGCATTATGCAGCATTATGTCTGCTGCAAGACTTAAGGGAGACTAAGATAGATCTATTTCGACCTTATAAGGCCTCATCAGTTAGCCACACCCTCATTTTATGACTCCTCCCTGTAATGGTCAAATATTTATTTTGTTCTTTTTTCGTAGTTCTATATGTGCATTACTGTTCTAGCCAGGGTTTTTCCTATGTAAATCAAGATGTTTGTATAGCCATAGTTTCTATTTTTTGTTTCAATAACATTCATTTTTACAGTAATGTATGTATCCCAATTCTTTTGAAAATAGTTTATATGTTGAACACATCTCTTAAAAGCTTATCATATAGAGCAACCCATTTCTTGTAGCTACAGTTGTATGTGGGAAGTATACACATCCCTCCCTTAAGGATTTCACCTGTGTAAGAACAATAATTAGTAAGCAGAAGTAATAACCCATACTTCTTCAGTAGAAAAGCGAAGCAAGATTTCTTCCCTTAACCTTTTGTTAGCCTTCCCAGGTGGAAATTCTACAGGTGGAAATTACTGTAAGCAAATATGAATGTTACCATTATTAATATTATTGAAAATATAGTTTAAAGAATTAAATGTTCATGTTATTTACGTAAGTACAGTACTATCAATGAAACAATCTCAAACTGAGAGGTTTTTTGAAGTGGGAAGCAAAATATTAAATTGTTATTGGAAATGCATTGTGGTAATAAAATTATTTTATTTTCTGGAAAAAAAAAGATTGCATTGTTATGAGAAATTGGAGGAAGAGAAAGGAAGAAGAACAGACAGAAAAAACTCAAGAAAGAGAAGGCAGGTCTATGGGCAGCTTATCTCATAAATGGAAACTCAACTCAGGTTACAAGAAATTTGGGAAGAAATGCTCTGAATCATTCACAGACTCTGTCTTAATGAACCAGGAGTGAGAAACTCCTCCTACCATTTCCAAGATTTTGTATTTATTCCCTGACTAGTATTAAAGGTACCTTCCTGAAATCTGTGTAGTTCTGACAATTGTTAAGACTATTTTGGGACACACTTAATGGAAAATAAGCTCTATAGAACACAAGATTTTAATTAAGCACATACAATATAGGCATTGTGGAAATACTATTTTGTTTGTGACATGGTTGCAAAATATGGTTTTGTGTAAAGCCCCTTAGATGTCTCAGGTGACAAGAACCATGATCCCCAGCCAGCACAGACCATAGACTGAATTAGCAGGGGAAGAGACAGGATACATTCTAGAGGGTTCTAGTTTGAGAAAAACTGAGTTGAATAAAATTTAAATTTGTTTTCCTGTTTGTTTGTTTGTTGTTTAGGTGTCATTCTGGGACTAGTGTTTTTACACATGGAGCGTAAAAAGAAGAATGAGCAAAACATTACCCCTGTTGCCATCAGGCCCTCTGAACTGAATGCTTTGACTTAAAGGATTAAATGAAAGTGGACATTCATGTTTTTCCTGTTGTCATTGTTGATTTCTCCTTTTTTTAAAAAATGTTTTTATTAAAACAATTTACATAGGTAACAAGAAATACATTTAAAAATACAGTGAAAAAATGTGCAAAAGGAAAAAAAATAGAAAAGAAGATAGAGAAAGAAAATAAAAGAACAGACATCACACACACACACACACACACACACACACAGAGAGAGAGAGAGAGAGAGAGAGAGAGAGAGAGAGAGAGAGAGAGAGAGAGAGAGATTGTGTGGTCTCACCTCTGTTTTGTCTCCTATCACTGAATGTTAGAAATCTTTGCCACAAATAATGCATTTGTTATCTTTCTTTCCTCCTGTTTTTAAGCAGAGACTTTAACCCTAACCCTAACTTCCCAATCATTTGGAAGCTATGGAGTTCAAGTGAAATAGATGCCAGGGTGTAAAACTCATGAAACTTCTGAGACAAGCTACGGACAAGTTACTGAGCAGGATTGGGAGAGCAGCTTCTGCCTAGGACTAATACATGCTTGATGGGAGAGGTTTTCACTCCCAATGCAAAGTGAGAATAACTTAAAATCAGTACGGTAGTTATACATCCTAGTCCTGATACTGCTATCCACCATAAATTAAATTAAATAACAGAAAAGCCTAGTCTTCTTCTTCTTGTGCCTTATTTATTTATTTATTTATTTATTTATTTATTTATTTATTTAATTTGTATACCGCCCTTCTCCAACAGGACTCAGGGTGGTGAACAGCCATGGTAAAACATAACATATAAAATTTAAAAGCAATTTAAAAAACATTAAATAATTTTGGCTATCCATTTAAAACAACCCGGATTAAAACCAATTACAAATTAAAACCGAAGGGATAGGATCAAGCCAGCCCGGCTAGGTGAAAAAGATGTGTTTTCAGGGCCCGACGAAAAGTCCGGAGGTCTGGTATCGTGCATATCTCTGGGGGTAGGTCATTCCAGAGGGCAGGTGCCACCACAGAGAAGGCTCTTCCCCTGGGGTCACCAGCCAACATTGTCTGGCCGACGGCACCCTGAGGAGTCCCTCTCTGTGGGAGCATACTGGCCAGTGGGGGGCTATTGGTGGCAGAAGGCGGTCTCGTAAATACCCCGGCCCTAAGCCATGGAGCGCTTTATATCCGTCATTGGACGTTGGCGATCATGTTGGCAATCCTATTTTTGTCAACAGCCGTATGAAAAAGTGCTGCTAAGTTTTGTCCAAACCAGTCCCTTAGGTTTTGAAGCCATGATGTTCTTCTTCTGCCTGGACCTCGTTTGCCTTCAATCTTTCCCTGGAGGATTAAGGAAGGATGCTGTATTTTTCTGGGTGTCGCATCACATGTCCAAAATATTCTAACGTTCTCTTTTTAATGGCTTTGATTATTTCCCTTTGTTTTCCCTACAATCCAGTCCTGTTTAATTTGGTTAGTTTTATTGCTAGGAACAGATTTTTAGACATTATGACTAAAGCACGGGTGTTAAACTCTCTGTGTCATGTTGCCGTCATGTGATGTTTTTTCCCTTCACGGACCTAGGGTGGGCGTGACCTGTGCGTGACGCATCTAGCTCATGGTTTGACAGTTTGACACCTGTCACTAAAAGTAACAGTCTTTCGCTTTTCATTTTTTCCCCCTACAAGTAAGCCTTATTGAACACAGTGTGGCTTACTTCCAAATAAATATGCATAAATTGTATATAATTCCCAGTTTGGTGCCATATAAGGATATGCCGTCTCATCCTATTTAAAGATAAAAGTAGCCTACATCTACCAAAAAAGAAGTACAAGAAATTAAACAGTAATCTATAATGACCTGCCACTGAAATTAGTCATTCTTCCTTAACCCCTTTAGTAACTGTTTAAAGATAAACTTCATTTTCCCTTGGTTCTGCTTGCTCTCTAGTGATGGCCTTATCAATTTTACACAAATTCAAATAAAGGGAATTAATAAGCCTATTTTGAAGTCTCGTAAATTTATATTGCACTGAATCTTGGGATAACTGCAAGTGAAATTTCTTAGAACTGCATCATATTTTTCTTGATAATACGAACTGTTTCTGGACTGTTTCTGGGTACTTTAGCCTCTCACAACTGATAAGTAGAAGAGACCAGGACATAATTCTTCAGGTCTGCAGTTTAGAGGCTCTTATCCTTAATGGTTATTAACAGTGGTGGGTTCCTCCCGGTTCGGTCCGGTTTGACCGAGCCGGTAGCGGTGACGATATGACATCACCGAACCGGTTCTCCCCCCCTCCCACGTTATTCTTACCTTTTATTTGGTCCCACCCCCAATCTATTGCTGCCTCCTGAATCCCAGCTGATGACTAGAGGGAAAAAAACTGTTTAAACTCTTGCCGCGGGGCTTCAAAGGACCGTCCTACAGCTGATCAGTGTTAAAAGCAAACAAATGAGTCGGGTCGTAAGTGCGAGGACCTTCCAGAAATGACTCTGACCAGCTAGCCACACCCACCTAGTCACATGACCTCCAAGCCACACCACAAAATAAGCCACGCCCACAGAACGGTAGTAAAAAAATTTAGAACCCACCCCTGGTTATTAAGGAATATCAAAAGGACTATACAACCAATGAAATAACTTCGTTTAAATGGCTATAAGAAAGGTACTTAAATCAGTGGTGGGTTTCAAATTTTTTTACTATGGGTTCTGTGGGTGTGGCTTGGTGGGTGTGGCTTGGTCGGCGTGGCAGGGAAGGATACTGTAAAATCTCCATTCCCTCCCCACTCCAGGAGAAAGTTATTGCAAAATCCCGATTTCCTCCCGATCAGTTGGGACTCAGGAAGCAGAGAATAGATGGGGGTGGGGCCAGTCAGAGGTGGTATTTACTGGTTCTCCAAAGTACTCAAAAATTCCGGTACCGGTTCTTCAGAACTGGTCAGAACCTGCTGAAACCCACCTCTGGCTTAGATATATCACAAGATCTTGTCCAAATATTTTCCATCTTCTCTCTTTCTTTCTCTCTTCTCATTGTTCTCATTTGTCTTTGAGGCCAGATCTAGAAAGTATTAGAAAGTACTCCTGTAAAGTATGTAACTATCCCAGAATATGTCAGGAAAAACTCCCATGAAAACTGCTACATGTATACTTTTCTGAGATCATATGAATGTTATCAGTGATGGCAGTATATATTTTTCAGGTCAATTGGTTTCACATTGAGTAAAAACATAGACAAAAAAGATGATAACTCACACTAGGGTTGCCTCCCACAGATAAATAGTAAAAAAATAATAATTCAGATTCAGATTTGCAATGCTTTTCTGAGGATTATCAAGTCTTTCTATACTAGGTTACTTTAAAGGTCTTTCGTCAACAAGCTACATATGTAGAACATATCTACCATGGAATAATGAAATCTGAAAATCATTGACATAGCATGGCTAATAACCTTTTAAAGAAAGGAGTAATGTAAGAACAACTGCCTTAATATAGGATGGCAGACTTAATTTCCTATGAGATCTACTTTTATTCTTTTTTTTAAAAAACTTTAGCTATTTTCTAAGTTTAGCTTAACTGCAGATTTTCTGCCAAGGACAATATTATAGCCTAACCAACCTGCTGATGGAATCATTGGGGAATGTGTTCCATGACTCTCTTTCTTAGACAGCTTTGCCTTTGAGTTTCTTTTATTAGGCACAAAGGCAACAGAGAAAGATTGAACCAGTCCCAATGTAATATGGATCATTCCTCGGCAAACTTTAAATATTAACTCTAGAATTCATGGTATGCCTGATTAAGTGTAATTAAGTAGTGTTTATTGTAAAGCCCGATAAATACAGACCACATTTGAACTCTGAAGAAAGCTATCTAGCAAGTGTGTCAAACTCAACTTCATTGAGGGTCGCATTAGAGTTGTGCTTGACCTCGGAGGGGTGGCCAGCATGACCAGCTCGATGTCACTTGTCGTGGCCAAGTGCTAAGGCAGGACTTCCTTCAGATCCTCCCTCACTCTCATTATAATCTCCTTCCTTCCTTCCTCCCTTCCTTTTCTTCTTTTTCCTTCCCTCTTCATTCTCCTTTCTTCTTCCTTCCCCTTTTTCCTTATTTTTCCTTCTTTGCTCTCTTCCCCTCTTTTCTTTTTTGTCTTTCCTCTTTCCCTTTCTCCTTTCCTGTCCCTTCTTGCATGCTCAAATGCAAAAGTGGAAACATTTCTCATTCTGAGCTCCATTTTTGCTGGCAGAAGCACCGTGGGCCATTCCTTTGCTGTTTTCAGGGTGCCTTCACAGGCCAGATCTGGCCCGCGGGCCTTGTGTTTGACACCCCTGCTATATACTGTGTTTCCCCGAAAATAAGACCCTGTCTTATATATTTTTGAACCCTGAAATAAGGGCTTGGCCTTATTGCCATGCGCTCAAATGCCCAATTGTCAGGCTTATTATCAGGGGATGTCTTATTTTGGGGGAAACAGGGTAGCTATGGCTAAAAGAGAAAGGATTGTATTTGGGTTAGTAAACAACAGTACACATCTGTGCTTTTAATAGAACGTTAATCATAAAACGTGGCCTATTAATAACCATGGTGATGGGACAAGAGTGCAATGTATTTCTCTGCATCAAAAAACTTTAGTTCTCTAATCAGGCTACAGAAAAGGTGTACAATCAATGGGGCTACAACAGTATCAGTTTGATCCAGATTTTGCACTCCCCAGAGCCTCCCAATTTTCATAGCTATATTTGGCAGCAGTATTTTTTTTTCTCTAAATGTTGGTGCACGCACATGGGCATGTGCGCACCCCCAAAGCCTAAAATAGTTGTGTTACGTTTTTGATAGGCTTATTGTACCTATTTTCAGTGTATGGAACAATTAGACTACAACATCCTCAGGCGACTCCAATTGTTAAATAAAAGATTGGATATATAATTTAAGATTTCTCTTGTTAAGTTCTTAAATCATGCCATTAATTTTCAGAGAGCCCAATAAAATGACTAGGGTTTTTTTCTTATTCTGAATCTTTCTGACAGACAATGCCTACCATTTGTTGTATAACTTTGTTTTTCCCACAGTTGTTATCAACTCACTTCAAAAACCATGCATTCCATGGTTTTTGAGAAATGCCAGAAAAGGCT